TTCCAACTGACCTCAATGCCTCAAAGCCCAGGGCAGGAACTGACCTCAATGCCTCCTTCCGGAGGACTGGCTCTCATGGCACCAGAAGACACATGTCTTAGCTAGGGTTTCTACTGCCATGGCCGTGGTAACTCTTAGAAAGACAAACACTTAATTGGAGCTGGCTTACAGTTCAGAGGCTTAGTCCATTATCATCATGGTGAGAAGCATGGCGGCATCTAGGCAGACTAACGTTATACAAACTGAGCAGCTTATATTTTTATTTGTGAACATACATGTGTATGTACATATATGCATGCAATAATAATTAATGGGAAAGGGAGCCATGAATCTGAAAAGAGAGCAAGGAAGAAAGGGTACACGGGAGGCCTTAGAAAGAAGAAAGGGAAGGGGAAATGATGTAAGTATATTATAATTTTTAAAAATAAAAGAAGTTAAAAATGTTTTCAAACAAATAATAGATGAGCGAGATGAGGGCAAGCTGAGGGTCTCTATTATAATTCTGCCCCAAGGGATGCATGTTTGCAAACATTTTGGGTTGCTGTAACCCGGATGGGAAGACAGTGCTCCCATCCAACATCCTGTTACGCAGTTCCGTAAAGAGCTACGTGCCCAGAGTGTCTCCATGCCGAAACTCAACAGCCCCGATACGCAGTGGCCATAGCTTCAGTGGTCAGAGCTGCTACATGGGCCCTTGGTAAATGATTTTGAGTAAATAAATGGCACCTAGACAGAGGAAACAGGTCGTGATGCACCGCCACTTCCCTGTACAAGAACAGAATACTTGTACACATGCCGCCTGAGCCATACTGTGACTGTGGGATGGAGAGATGAGGCGAGAAGCACGGAATAACAGTGGCACGTTATCAAATGAAAACACAGGAAGCCCAGAAAATCTAAATGTCATCGAAATAATGAATAAGCTTTTTAGCATTTCCATAAAATCTTTACATATGCTTGCACAGTGCTAAAAATTGTTCATCATGTGATACCATGTTTTACTGGTGAACTGTGTGTCACCTGGCTGACCCAGGACAATGGTAGGCCCCACCGAATGGAGGGGCATTGGAAGGTTTCTGTGGCCTGTCTGAGGATATTCCTTTGTGAAGGGGTACTGACAAATCAGGGATGAAGGGAACAAATTTAATCAGTGGAGAAAGATCCAGGTTGAAATGCAGGAGATAACAGAAGCCATAAGGACTATTTCCCAGAGAATCTGAGAAGTCTGCAGTGGTAGAGGCACCACAGGTACTCAGGATGCTGGGATACCAGGTGTTTAGGTACCGGGGATACTGGATGTCAGGAATGTTGTGTGCTCGGATACTGGGTGTTAGGGATGCTGGAGATACTGGGGTGCTGGGGATGTTGAAAATTAGAAAAGAGATACTGAGATCCTGGCCTGCTGGGATGCTGGAGATATTGGCATTTGAAAAAGTTTAGATGTTAGGGTTTCTAGGTATCTGGAGTGTTGAGTTGCTAGGATGTTGTGATGCCTCACTCTGTTTGCAAGTGGGGGTACACAGCCTCCCATGTTCCACAGGGAAGGGCAGAAATCCATCTGTCCTGGAAGGCAATGTCCCCTCTGTTCTGGGCTTGTTCCTTGAGAAAGGTGAAAATGGAGGATAAATGAGCACTTCCTCCTGCTCCATACTCCCCTTGCCCTTCCTAAAGGCATGAGGCCCTGCCTCCTGATGAGGGCCCAGGCAGCATAGGCTTGATCTGGGCGGGATGGGGCTTTCCATCACCCAAAGTATGCTCCTACACACTGCTCTGGTTGTATTTGAGGGTAGAGGGACTGTACCCCTCCAGGGCCAATCAGAAGGTTACATACACACTCTCACAATCCCTCTCAGGAACACTTACTTTGCGCAGCGCATACATTCACACGCTTGTGTTCATACACGTCACTTGCACAACATTCATATACAATTCAAACATCTACAGTCACACAGGTCAACACAGTTACATTCATACGTACATAACTCAGCACTGCCTAGAAGGGTGTTAGGGAATTCCTGCTGTGGGTAGGTGTCAGTGGCACCTGAGCCAGACAGGAGTATCAGGAACAACTTGAAGAAAAGCCAGCAAGCACCAATCTTAAGTTGTTCCACCTCACAAGAGCCTGACACCTGGTTCTCTGCGGTCAGCCAGGACCCACTGCTGCTGCCCCCAGCACTTCTGCAGACAAAGGACAGTGGGCATTATCTGCAAACAGGGGAAGTGAGTTCCAAGGATAGCATAAAGAAGCCCGCAATCTCTTGGAGTCACAGATGACCTGAGTGGTCTTGGGAAAATGAAACACATCTAGCAAGAAAAAAAATATTTTTGTGTCACATTCTCCGTATTTATAGCTACCATGTAACCAGAAAAATGAGTTTTAATATTTAATGTGTTTGGACTTGGAAATGGAGACGTTACTACATAATGTCTGAGTGATGCTTCCTGGGTGGAAGTAAATATCTTTATATTTACTGCTGTGTAAACACTACAGAGAATTCTTACGAATGAACAAAGACCCACACCAAACAGCATGGTTTACAGAGTGGAAAGCTAGCTAACTTAGAGAGATTTAAGGGTTCTGCTTCCAGGGTAGAATATGGCTCTGGGACCTTTGGAAAAATATGACATTTAGGTTTCAAAATTATAGCAGGCATGTTTAACTTTATCATATACCCACACACAGATGGTCCATGGAATTTTCCCTCCTCGTGAAGTTGCTAAAGAGACCCATATTCAATAGATCCCACACTGCAGTATTGAATTCCAATCTCTTCCCTGGGTGTCTGTATTAAAGACAGACACCCTCCCCCCCATGATATGGAGCAGTAGCTGGAGCCGTGAGCCCTGGTAAGCCCCATGAGTGTATCCTCCATTCTTCAGTGGCCACCCCTAACACACTCTCACCCTCAGCACCCCTAAGTTCTGAAAAGTAGGAAAGTACCTCAAAGATGCCTCAGCTTCCCAGTGCAAAGCCCCTGTGGTAGACATCTCAGCCCTTGACCTGCCCAATGCCCAGGGGGAGCCCCAGTCCCACAGCACCTCCTTCCAGGTGGAGTTTCTTCCTGGAGCTCCGGGGCTTTGGGATTTCCTTGGTTCCATCGCGGAAGAAAGATGAACATAAACCAAGATGGCCCTGGCTAAAAAGCCAGGTAAACACTATCTGTGTCCAGCACCAAGCTGAGGATTGGACTTCACAACCAATTCTTAGCTGACAGTAGGGTCTGAATGTAACCCCCTGGCCTTTCTGTGAGAAACCTTCATGACTCAACAACACACACACAGAGAAAGAGAGGAGAGAGACCCAGTTGTCAGGGCTTACTGTTCATTGCCAGAATTCGTTCTGGGTTGTTGTCTGCTGAGGTCCGTTCTTTATTGCTGAGCAACAGCCCATTGTGTGACTGGCCATCTTTACTGAGGTCTTTGTTGGCTATCTGGATCATTTCTAGCCTTGGGCTCTCACGAACAAAGCAGCCATGAACACTCTCTACAGGACTTCAAAGGGCAGCCGTTGGGGCAAGCCTAGGAGGAGAATTTCTTGGTCATGAGGCAAGTACATGCCTCAGTTTACTTAAAGCCTCCAGTTTCCCGGTGATTGTCCTCTTACATCCCCACCAGCTGTGTGTCATATGCAGCTGTTTGTCCTCACCAGGCTTCGCTATCATCAGGCTTCTTGATTTTTAGCTGCACTAATGGGTTTGAATGTGGGAGGCATTTCTTCCTGTTGTTTCTCTGATTACGGACAACGTCAGCACTCATTCTGTGCTAACTGGGTAGTCAAGTGTCTATCCAAGTCTTTGGCATCTTCTAAACTGTGATTTACTGTTGCATTCTTATATAATCTGGACACGGGTTTTGTATCAGAGATTTTATTGTGAACGTTTTCTCCTAACCTTCAGTCCTACCTTTTCATTTCCCTAAAAGCCTCTTTTAAAGATCAGAAGGCTTTAGTTCTGAGGAAAATTTTATCTGTTTTTCCCTTTGAGGTTTTTCTGTTTGTACCCGCTAAGGTCTCAAGAGCTCGTGTGCTGACTCATCGCCCCAGCAGGTGGCCCGATTTTGAGCGGTTCTGTGTTCTTTAGGAGGTGGCTCCGGGCCAGAGGAAGTAGGTCACCGAGGGCGTGGCCTCGGGGATGCGGCTTTTTCCTCCGGTGGCTCTTTTAGCTCTTGTGTACTTTTGTCGTTTTGTACTCCGTTCTAAACGCTCACTTAGGTTTCTAGAGCCAGCCTTGTCTTTGCCTGCGCGCCCGTTCACCTGCTGCTCTAGGGGTGCCCACCCAGCATCGCTTCCCAGCTGCTGAAGCGCAGCCCCACCTGCAGCCCGGAGGTTTGCCCCGCCTCGGACCTCCGAGACTACTGTGTCTTTATGGGAGTCCTCTTCGAGAGTGGTCCTCTCCCAAGGGCCCTAGAGCATGCAAGGCGTCTCTCCAGCTCCCCTGACCCCAGGACTGCCCCGACAGCAATTACAGGCGGGCCTGCCCAGTCTCCACGCCTCAGATCCCTTAGATAATGCCACTCGTAGACCTGCCACAGGTGGCACCTGAACATAGAGAGGAGGACCCTTTTCCAGGCTGGTAACTTCCTCGTCCAGCTGATACCCAGCAACCCTCTTTCTGCTCCTCTAAACATCCTCTGTTAGATCTTTGCGGGTATGCGTCCAGCTCGCGTTCACCCGTTCACCCGGAGGAGGGAGGTTGTGTGGAACGCTCTTGTCTAATTCTCTGACGCATCGGAGCAGGCCACTGAAGGAGGGGTGGATGGATAGGAAGTGAGCGCAGCCTGGCAAGGAAAGTGAGGAAAGTACGATGTGGATGCCAATTCAACACTCGGGAGTTCTTCACCTGGCATCACCTGGTGTCCGCCAGTCCCGCCCCGCCCCCTTTTTCTACTTCCCCGCCCCCTTTCCGTCCCTACTCCTGGCGTCACTGACCCCTCAAGTGTGGCTCCGCCCCGAGCTCACGCGTCCTTGGTCTGGGTCCGTCTCTAGGCAACCGCTACTGGTCTAGCAGCAGAGCAGCTGTCTGGCAGTGTAGGCCTTAGGCGCCATGGACCTGGTCATTACACAGGAACTGGCCCATGCCCAGCACCAACAAGGTGGGTTTCACCCTAGCTCTGCTGATGGGAACCCCTTGACCTTAGGATAGTGGCACAGAAAGCCTCCCGTGATGTGGTGCGGTGGTTACAGTTGTTGACTCTGGCTTAATCGTTGGGTGGGTGGGGAGGACTGTAGACAGCCTAGCCAGGAACTCAGACTGGGGTTCCCATGCCAGAGGAAGCCTCTCCCCAGGACTGTGTCTCTCTGACACAACCACGCTGGGCCCTTCTGCTTCTCCTCTGCCGGATAGATACAGCTGCCCTGCAACGAGCTTATGAACTGATCAAGTCAGCTAACCTGGGAAAGTCGGAGTTTGACCCCACAGAGAGCTTCAGCCCGGACCTGTTCGTGCTGTGTGCAGAGCAGGCACTCAAGGTGGAGTCTCGGGCCTGGCTGTCACTGGCACACAATGAAACTGTCCCCACCTTCACATCTTTGGGTGTAAATGGCAGAGGAGGGCTGGTGGAACACTGAGTGTTGTGGGTATGGAAATGATCAAGCCGGCTTCACCAGTGACCTGAAACAAGCTCCTTCATCCTGGGTGTCTTCCCTCCTTTTCCTGGTTTTAATCTACAGATGGGAGAGCTCGAGATGAGTGATGACTGTCTCCAGATGTACTTCAAAGTGAAGGGGCCAGTCACTCAGTTTCTGGGCCGAGCACACCTGTGCAGGGCCCAGCTTTGCGCCCCACAGTCAGAGGAACACCTGGTGAGAACACCCCCCTTCTCACCCCACCTCCAGGGCCAGGTCAGCAAGCGGGCCTTAGAGTAGCTTTTAAGCAAAATGGAACTGAGGAGCCAGACAGTGACACAAAACATTTAGTTACTGTTTGTACCTTTCTCTCCACTCAGTACGTGTCAGGTGCGGAAATGAGTGTGTTTGACCTTCCATTTCTTCAGCAGCGCCGGCGCCTTTCTGCCTTCTCTCTCTCTCACAGCCCTCCCTGACCTGGGCAGAGGGGGAGCTGGGAGAGTCTGGAACCCATGGGCACAGCCAGCTGTGGTTCCTCAGGAGTTTCTGCTCTACCCTGACTGTGCACAAGCTGGGGTGTCAGCCGGTTTGCACTGGATGACAGAAATCATGAGTGGTGGTGGGTGCTCAGGTGGCAAAATTGGCTTACCTGCCCATTCTCTGTGCTGTTTTAGGAAGAATTTGAAAACTGTGTGACTCAGTACATGAAGGCTATAAACTTTGCAAAAGGAGAACCGAGGTAGGCATGCTGAACTGTCCGCTCCTACTGGACTGCATTAAGACTCGGGTACCCGAAGCACCAACTGATACCTTTCGCTTACACTGTCACCCATCCCTTCTCCTTTCTGCTTTGTGTTTTAGTGGAGTTATGACACAGGTTTGTCTTATTATCTGGGAAAAAATCAACCATGTTCATGCAGATTTCCCAGAAGCGGCATCCTCCATGGGGCTCAGAGGTTGTTAAGATTTGGAGATGGCTGTTTTCTCTATGGCTTCCTTCCCAACCTGTCCCCTGGAACCCTTCGTCCCTGGCTTTTGGGGCCTCTCTGAAGGGAGAAAGGCTCACTTTGGGTTCCTCTGTTTAGACTGTGGTCCTCTGCCCCTGCACCAAGGCTTCCTGTCTGCAGCTGTACCTTGGTGAAAGTCTAGCACAGCTTTCTAGTTGATGGCTGTCATTTTTTTCCCACCCAAATTCAGTTATTGAAACAGTTAAGTGGCATTAGCACACATGCAGTGGGACCCATTCATTCTACCCATATCCACTGCTCATCTGTTGATGACCTTTTCAGGTTACACAAGGGTCCAGGGTCCAGCCCCCTAGGCCTTCCTTCCAGGGCTCAGGAGGTCAGAGACCTTAGCACAGTGCATGTTTCCAGAGCCTTCCAATTCCTGGCCATGCTCCACTGCAAGGGACTTGGGGACAATTATAGGTGGGCCAAGCAGGTGACTGGGATGGTCTGGTCTGGCTGTTGAATACTTAGTTTCCCTTTCTTCTTCCCGGATAATGAGTAGCAATGTCCTGTCCAATGACCAGCAGGATAGACTGTCAGGCCTGCCGGCTCCAGAAAGTGGCTTTACAGTAAGAAAGTCCCCTGTGTGTCTCCCTCAGTTGATGCCCTGCCACTCAGAGGGAGATGCCTGGGAGGTACCTCTTCCTTACACCTTCAGCACCCTCTTCAAGAGTTTATGGTCAGACATGGAGTTGGCCCTACAGCCCCTCACTTCCCCCTGCAACACACTCATCTGTCTGACCATCTTTGATCCACTCAGCTCCTGCCTGATTCTTGGACTTCTTCCAGGTCACAGTAGGATACCACCTCTTCCAGTAAACCTTCCAGGTTCTTTTCTTCCTTGCTTATGACTATGTTTTCATGGGGTGTGGTCAGCTTGTACAATGACTGAACCTAGTCCAGACAGGTACCGTGTCATCACCACTGCGAGTGAGACAGCCACTGCTCACGTAGAAGATGGCTGTTGGGGGTGGCTCTGCATCCTGGCGATGATGTAGACTGGAAAGAAGCATTTCAAATGAGGAGCCTGCATCTGATGGTGTTGGGGCTCACCTTCACTTCCTTCCTGGATGGATCCAGGAATGAGGATTCCCCCAGGCCCCTGCCTCTAACATTCTGACTTCTGCTCCCTGCCCAGGTATTACTTCTTGGTGTATAATGCTTCTGTTCTTTACTGGCGAATGGTGCGGCCATTCCTCAGGCCTGGATTCCACCACCTCGTTATCCCCAGCCTCTCCCAAATCATCAGCGTGTTAAATCAGACAGAAGAGGATGACAAGGAGTGGCGGGCTGAGCTAATGATGTGAGTAGGGGTGGTCGTCCTAACAGCCCTGGACAAGTTCCTTATGATTTCAAACCATGTAGACTTCTCTTTCTCTCTGAAGGTAGGAGCTGGGTTTCTTACTTCTCAAAAGATTCTTTCTAGAAATCCATGGAGATTGCAACAAGTCTTAGAGACACATCAGGACTCAAAGCAAAACAAACAAGGACATAGTCACTAGTCCTTAGTCCTGGCCCAAGCTTTTAAAACCTTAGTGCAGTGGGATTTTGCTATTGTTTTGGTTTTGGTAGGCACTTTGGTTATTAGCTATGCCCATATGAGCATCACATCTGGGTTCCCAGGCGCCTGTGCACAGGAGCTCTGAGGTTACTGCTCTAAAGCCACAGGCAAATGCCTGGTCCCTGTGCCAGCTAAACCAAGAAGGAGTCTTTCATAGATTTTCTGAGGATCTTGCTGCACTCAAGAAAGTAGGTGGATTTTGACAACGTGGATTTTAGCACCAAAGATGGCAGCTTAGGTCCAGACCACTGAGTGCAGGCTTGGGGTACCTGCAGGTTCGGGGTACCTGTTTGTGGCCATTTGGGAAACGTCTAAGAGAAAGTCGATGTAAATGAGATGTTCCTTCAAAGCATCATCTGGAAATGTTCTTGATAATTAAAGATCCAATAGTTTCTGTGCTGTCAGCGGTGTTTCTTTCACTCCTGATGGCTTTGCATTGAGCCACAGATCCTGGGGAATGTCTCAGGCTTTCCTGGCAAGCTTTGGAAAGTTTGTGAAATGCAGAGTCTGCAAAAGCCTGAGAACCCAGTTACTAGAAATTTGCAACAGGAGACAGCTCTAAAAAAGCTAATGCCTACTGTTTTCTTGGACAGGGAACTTCTTGAATGTTACCTGCAAGCCAGAAGATTTTCGGATGCTGCCAAGTTTTGCCTGACAGCAGCACCGTTCATCAAAACCCACGTGCCACACAAATACCAGCAAGTGTTCGCAGTCATGGTAAACGGACACTTTAAAAGGAGAGGCAATAACTGGCGTTGTTAACAGTCTTTGCTCAAAAACTATGCATAAAACCACAACAAGCCCACTTAATGAGGAATATAGAAACATACACATATGTGAACGCAACAAAAAATAATGAAAAGAAAGGGCAATTCATCCTATGTGAAAAAGCAAAGTTCCGTCATTAGCATTGCTTAAATATGTCTTTTGTAACAGCATCAACTTTTAAAAGATTAACAGACAATTTGTAGAACTACAAGTGATGATTGTAGTGCTGTATCCCAAATGTCTACAACCTGTCAATTTTGCTGTGTAAGAATCAGCTTAAGTTATATAAATATGTATATTATATAACATCATTGTGAGAATTTTTCTTAATTACAAGTATTAGTTTTACAGGAAGAATAGACTGGTATCTAGACACAAGATCTGAATGAATCTCTTAAGTCCTCGTTTGAATGCAAAGTAGAGTTCAGTTGCATTTCCTGGCAGGTTCGCTTTGAGCTAATGAGTGATCAACACTTGAAGGAGGAAAAGAAGCACTCCACTAGCCTCTCCATCACTTACCACATTAACGCACTGAAAGCGTAAGTGGTTTGGGAAGGCTGAGATGCTCGGACTGGGATCAGGACACTGGCCCCTCCCCTGGGATGCCCTTTGCCAGTGAGGAGGGTTCTAGTGCTGATGGCTGCAGGGGCTTCCCTAGAGGAAGTGGTACTAAGGTTTTTTTGGGGAGGGTCTAAAGTAACCCTCACTGGCCACCCCCCACTACTGAGAAGCAAGGTAAGCCACCAAGAGAATAGCCAAGAGTCCCAGCAAGTGAAAAAAGTCCTGCCCGACGAGGCTCGAGGTAGACCATAGCGTATCCAAGGCCAATGAGAACGGGGTGATTACAGTGTGCTTGGTCCTGAAGAGAGTGAGGAGACCACAGTATGTTTGAGGCTGAGGGGCACTGCTTATTTCAGGTTTTGCTTTGTTTTGTTTCTTCCTCCTGGCAATAACGCAGAGATACCAAGAGACTTCTGGTCTCAGGGCCCATAGTGCTGTACGGATAAGGGCCAAACTGTCTCAGGGCAGGGGATCCTAGGAACAGTGCTGGCTCCGCAGACATGCCCTTAGCACACTTTCCTGAAGCTTCCCTGCAGTGATATAAGAGAAGGAATATTACCTGTGAAGAGAAAGTATAAGGAGGGATGAACATTTGCTGGGAAAATTAGGCATGAAAAGACGAGAAGGAAGGGATGGTTTTAAGACCTCCATTCTGTAAGAAGCAAGGGTTTGTTGGTTTAAAAGTTTCCCCGAGAACAATTTTTTAACAAAATATGACTGTATGATTTGGTAACTCAGTGTTTAAATCAATTCTAGGAAAGTGGATAAAAATAAGTTGCCGAGTGACCTCAACGATATTCTGAGGAAAGCCTATAAACATTTACAACATTACAACCACAACCGCATCCCTTCCATCAAGGAGGAAAAGTAAGTCTGAGCATCCTTTAATTTGTACACACAGATCGTCACCATGCAACATTTAGAAAGCATTAGGCAATGTGAAAAGACACGAAAACAAGCACCAACCCAACACTAGGAGAGGGTTCGTTACGACCTCCCTGGTGATTTTGTCCTGACGTTTATACCGTCTATGCACTGCACATGGATGTGGACCTTCATTAGCCTACCTTGAAAATCAAATTTAACTTCTAGGCACAATCATTTTCAGTTTGCCACAGTGCCTCACACCCTTCCTAGTAGCCACACAGAAGAATGCACCAATGTGAGTTCTTCCCAGGAGGTCATTTCCAACATCCCTGAGTACTGGTGGAGTTGGGGAGGAGTTCTGGGCTGGCTCCTGAATGAAGAGCAGGTGATTCCAAAACAGAGGTGAGGCTCCAGAACGTTCTCTCACAAATGTGGCAGGAGTTCGTTTCTCGCCTCAGTGGCTGTCCATCACACCCTTGTGAGCACTTTGTGTTTGTCTGCGACGATGAGATTGTAATTGCCCCCATGTGTTGGTTTTGACTGCTGAGGCTGTGATCACCAGTTCAACGTTCACCTGTGTTTGGAGCTTTTGAACTACCTCCTCTGAGAACTTACCTTCTGAATGCTCAGTAATTTTTCTCACTTAACTTCTGTTCACTTCTAGTGCACGAAACCTGACTGTGATCGTTGTTTTTGCCACAGGGTCTCTTGATGTGATAGCCATCATTACCCCAGACAGGCAGAAAGCGCCGCTGTCCTCAATGATCATCTGGCCATTGACTTGGGCTGTCGTGTGTAGAATTTTGTGTAGGGGGGGGCGGGTGTGTGCCACTGATGGAAGTGGTGTCTGAAGCGGACACCATTCTGCAAGTGGGAATTGGAAGTAGAGCCTTCGTAGTTATAGGTTCAGAGGTATCACACCGAAAAAGGTGGCAAGCCCAGAAACACACCTGGTGAAGGCCATGCAGCAATGGAAACAGAAGGTGCCAACCATCGCTGGCCTCAGCCTAGAGAAGCAAGGAGGGCCCCCTCCGCCGTCTTCAAAGGGAATGTAGCTTGGGGGAAACACCTCGATTTGAGGTCCAAGTCTGAGAACTGTGAGGCAGTCATGTCTGTTGTCTTATGCTCCTCAGTCTGTAGTACTTACTTGGCAATGGGAACCCAGAGAAACTAATCAAGAGCGTGTGTTAGTTGTCTGTGGCTGTGTGGCAGTACAGTTGTATCTACCCGGTCACGCCTGCAGGTAGGACTCCCATTCATCTACCGGCAAGATGCTAGCCGCCTCCCTCGGGTCTCTATGGCGGTTAAGCTGGGAGAGACTGTCCTCGCTCACAAGGCTTCCGGCACAGTTAGTTCCTTGTGCCCTCCGGACCATAGGATATCTTCATAGAACAGTCTTGCCTTAGTGGGCACAGCCAGGGAGAGAACCAGCTGTCTACAGGCAGGGCTATGGGTGGCTCAGGGCTGGGGTACATTCCGCTTACAGCGTGGCTGCGCCATGCTTGGCATATACTCCTCAGGGAATGGACTGCGCAGGGGGCCACACTTGGTGTCCAAAGGACCCTAAAGCCTGAGGAAGAGCCGGAGGAGAGGGATCGAGTGCTTCTGTGTACTGGGCTCTCCACACTGATTTCCAGATCTTCTGCCAGGTTAATAAGTGCAAAGAGGAGTGAGCGCCCATGTACATTTGAACGTGTATGAATGCTTGTTTCTGGAAGGGAGGCCACATCTGTCTTTAGATTCTTCAAGTTACTTTAACTGAAGTCAGACCCCAGCAGTCCTGTTTGGGGATGGTATGACCCCTTTATGAAGACATGCTCATTGCTCTGAGGTGAGATTCCTAGAAATGGGGTTCTGGGGTGCTGCGTGGGGCATGCACACAGGGACTTTGCTTTCTGCCCTCTTCGTGACTTCTCTGAGCCTATCTTGACCATGACGAAGCCAGGCATTTACTCGTACATGTATGCGCACTATTTCCTTTGCTGCCTCCACGTTTACCTGACTTTAAAAATAGGGTGTGTATACACATTGTGCAGTTGACTATAAGAGCTTTCATGTACTGAGATCTGAGTTCTTCCGCTCTGTTATATTTACAAATATATCCAGGTGGCCAGTTAAACCTTTCTAAGAGTTGATATCCAGGAGTGCTGTACTTAACACAAAAATAATGTGAGCCAGCATTCATTCCCACCAGTCCTGGGCCAGATGAATTCATGTGTGAACTCAGCTACTTCGTGGGGCCTGGGAGTGGATGTGTGGATGCTCAGAGGAAGGGCCTCAGCCTCCTGGCTGATGTGTCCTCTATCTTTATACCTCAGACAGTATTCCCTAAGGTGAGCTGAAGATAAGCTAATCTCCAAGGCTCCTTTTCTGTGCAAACTTCTAGTAAAAGCACACAAGGAGCCCCCCAGAACCCATTGCATATAGAAGGACCCCAAAACTGTTTTAGCTCTTTAGACAGTCCACCCTGCTGCTCAGAAGCAGCTGTACAGCTCCCAACTTGTCCAAGACACAGCATAAGCAGCCTGAGCTTCCTCCCAGTGGATATAGGATCTTTCCCCCTTACCCAGAGAGCCTTGGAGCTTCTTGCCACTACAGGATCCTACTGCAATATCTTCGTTTGGGCTTCTGTGTCTGCAATTCTGACTAGGGGGAAAAACATAGCATTTGTTTAAAACCAAAATGGTCCAGGGACCAGTTATTTACTATTTCCTGAGGTTTTTTCCTTTTGACTGGCAGGCCCAGAACTCAGGGGAAGCAGGGAGGCAGAGGTCCTGAGGCCATACCTTGGGTATGCAGAACCTGAGGAAGGAAGGGTGGGCAGCAGAAAACAGCCTCTCTTCCTAAAGCTGCCTCCCCCCTTATTACAATGGCAGAGGAATACTGACTGGACCTCTCCCCCAGAACGGCTGCCAGTATCTAGAGACCCTTAGTGGTCACTTCGTACGGTGTTGCTAGAGTCCCGTGGAGGAAAAGCAGAGATGCAGAAGGATGAGAGGATGATGAGTTGCAGAAGGCCAAGGTTAAGGCCAGGAAGCACTCTGGCCAATCTGTTGAAGGACCATAGCCTAGCAGAAGTCTTAAAAATGGAAGGTTTCCTCAATCAATTTGTTCTTTTTCAAAGTTGTTCATCTATCTAAGGTCCATGCACTTGGACACACATTTAACATCACCCACTGACACTCAGACTGGTGATGGTGAAAGTACTGAGAACATCTCATGCCTGTCACAGGGAGGAGGACTTGTGCTGCCCACATAATCTTTTGTTTTGTTTTCTTCTTTTTTTTTCTTTTTTTCTTTTTTGAGACAGGGTTTCTCTGTGCAGCCTTGGCTGTCCTGGACTCACTCTGTAGGCCAGGCTGGCCTCGAACTCTCAGAGATCCGCCTGCCTCTACCTCCCTGAGATTACAGGCATGCACCACCATGCCCAGCACTGGGTCTTTTTTTTAAACTGTGTGCGTTGAGCCTCATTGGGCAAACTGTGCAGAAAGCTTGTGATGGCACGGTGTTGCCATGGTCTTGTGGCATCTAGGCCAGTGGCCTGGAGACCTGAATGGGGAAAGTAGGGACAGATGCAGCATTGTAGAGAGCTCAGGGTCCTACAACAGCTAGCGGGCAGGGTCATCGCAGCAGGTCTGTGGCTTGGTGTGTCTTAGTTTACTCTTAGCTACCGCCACTGTCACACTACTGTCACCATGGAGCAAGACTGGCATTGCCTCCACCAAACACGTCAAGTCCCGCCCCATGCTGAGCCAGGGCCCCTTTGTTTCTTTCCTCCCAGGGTGCTTTTGCTCTTTGAATTGGCCCGCCTGTCTCTGACGTTGAAAAATGAGCCAGTGGCCCATGACTGCTTCTCAGACCTGAAGAAAATGGAAAGCAAAGTAAGTGACTTCAGGTTAGCTCTGGGTGGTGGCTACAGGAGGATGGCTCACAGGACTATGGCTCCTGGAACAGAAAACAAAACAAAACAAAACAAAACAGTGTCGGTGTGAAAGACCTTCCGTGCTCAGCCTACGCCTCCTGCAAAAGTGTGTTGGCAGTTTCTGCTGATCTGTATCCATGTCTTTCCTTTCGCCATTGTCACTGGACCTGGCCTGTGTTGCCACCACTGTTCCTCCAGTTCAGGGAAGGGGTGTGTAATCCTCACAGTCGAAGCAGTATAACCCATGCTCCCCTGACCCTGCACACTTAAATCGTACTTAATTTTTCTTATCTCACAAAGAACTGCCGTAGAAATTCTGTGCCTAAACCAATCCTTTTGGCAACTAGGGATTCTTCAGTGACATGGATTGCCAAGGAACTTTCACAGTAATTTTTTTTTTTTTATGCTTATGACAATGTTGACATCCAGGGGAAGTTTAGGAGCACATGCAGTGATAGGAGCCAGCTTCAAGATGGTTCCCCTCTTACCTCCTGAAGCCACACAAGGTGTTTCCAGAGTGGAGAGTGTCATGGTGCCCCCCACCTCACCCCACCCGCTAGTGCTGCTGTATTCGAAAATGAGGTTCGATGGCAGTGTGCTGGATGACCTGGTCCTTGTCTTGGCTGCCACTTCCTGCAGTCTCATTTAGCACTTGCTTTCTGCTCAGTCTTAGTTTCCTGGGTGGGTGATCCTATATGGCCTTAGAGTGTCCGTTACTAAATAAGCGACAGGGCTAGAGGAGACAAGCAGGAGCAACTCACAAAGACAAAAAGAAATCGGGGTACAGGTGAAATGGTGATAGAGGAATGTCCTAAGTAGAAATAAAACTCCATCTGAACCTTGGCCATCAGGTGATGCTTGGACAGGACAGGCCAACGGGATGAGGGGAAGCAGTTGAGGCTTCATCATAACCACAAGTGACAGCTCACGCTGGCCAGGATGTGGAACAAGGGGAGCACTCCTCCATTGCTGGTGGCAGCGCAAACTTACACAGACACTTTGGAAATCAATATGGTGTTGGTTTTTTTGTTTTGGTTTTTGTTTTTTTAAAGAAAATTTGGCTTCTATCGACCCCAGACCCAGCTAGATTACTCCTAGGCATATACCCAAAGGATGCTTCATCCTTCCACAATGACACTTGCTCAACTATGGTCATATCAGCTTTATTTGTAATAGCCAGAAACTGGAAACAACTTACATGTCCCTCAACCAAAGAATGGATAAAGACGGTGTGGTGCTATACACAACGGAGTATTACTTAGCTTTAAAAATAATAACAATAACATGAAATTTGCAGGCAAATGGCTAGAACTAAACACAGACCCTGAAAGACAAACGTGGTATATACTCACTTATTACTGGATATTGGCTGTAAAGTAAAAGATGACCGTGCTACAGTCCACAGACCCAGAGAGGCTAAGAAACAAGGAGGGCCCAAGTGGGAAGGGGAAATAGAATAGATACGTCAGGTGAACTGGGAGCAGGTGGGAACAGGAAGGATCAGCCTGGGGCAGGGTGGAGGAAGAGAGGACTGGGAAAGAACCGGAACTGGGGGTCATCTCTGTGGCAATGTGGAAACCTAGTGAAATGGACATCCCCAGTAATCTAAGACTCCTAGTAATAGGGGATAGGGATCCTGAACTGTCTATATCCTGTGACCAGGCAAGCCTTCCAGTGAAGGGACTGGGACACCAATCCAGCCACAAAACCTTTGACCTATAATCTGTCCTGCCTGCAAGATGTGCTGGGATAAAGGTGGTATAGAAATTGTGGGAGTGGCCAACCGATTGGTCCAGCTTGAGACCCATGCCGTGAGAGTGAGCCCTTGACACTGCCTGGAGGGCCAGGAACCAGAGGGTGGATAACCCAAAGACCTAGGAGAAAACCAAACACGACTGGGGAAAAAAAAAGTCAGTGAAATGATTCCTAATGCTACTCTGCTGTACTCATAGATCAAAGCCTAGCATAATCATCATCAGAGAGGCTTCATCCAGCAACTGATGGGAGCAAATGCAGAGACCCACAGACAAACATTAGGCAGAGCTTGGGGAATCCTGTGGAAGAGGGGAGGAAGGATATAGAAGCCAGAGGGGTCAAGAACATCATAAGAAACCCCACAGAATCAACTAACCAGGGCTCATAAGGGCCCACAGAGACTGAACCAACAATCAGGGAACCTGCAGGGGTCTGACCTAGGCCCCCTGCATATATTTTATGGTTTTGTCTTCTTGTGGGACTCCTAGCAGTGGGAGCAGGGGCAGCCTCTGATTCTTTGGACTGCTCTTGGGACCCTTTTCCCCCTGCTAAATTGCCTCTTCCAGCCTTAGTATGAGGGGAGGTGCCTAGTCTTACTGCAGCTTGATAAGCCACCCATGTTTGGTTGACATCCCTGGGAGGCCTGCTCTTTTCTTAAGGAAAATGGGAAGGGGGAGAGGGGTAAGGGGAGAGGGACTTGGAGGACAGGAAGGAGGGAAAACTGCAGTTGGGATGTAATATATGAGAGAATAAAAAAAAAGTCAACACATGAAATTTGAGACAGGAGAGGAGTTAGAGGGGAAGGACTGGGGATAAGTCTGATTAATACACATTATATGCATGTATGAATTTCTGAGTAAAAGAAAATAGGAAAAGTATAAGCCAGAGAGGCTAGTGAGATGGCTCAATGTGCAAAAACGCTTGCCACCAAAGCTGATGATCTGAGTTTGAGCCCTGGAATCTACACTATAAAGGGAGAGAATCAGCTCTTGCAAGCTGCCCTCTAATTTCCATGCTCATACACACGCATGCACACAAATTTTTTTTTAATTTAGGCCAAGTGTGGTGTCCTATTTCTGTAATCCTAACGCTCAGGAAACTGAGGCAGGACTGATGTGAGTTCAAGGTCTTCCTGGGCTAAAAAGTGAATTCCAGGGAAGCTTTAGCTACAGTGTGAGACCCTGCATTTAAAAGAGAGAAAATTAAAAAAAAAAAAAAGTAGGAAAGAAAAATTCAAGGTTCTCTGAAATCAGTGAGCCCCACCCCCCTTTAAAAGGTTTCAAGAAGTCCTCTCCCTTTGTATCTTTTGAGACTTGTTACATTTTTCTCTTACTTTGCGCCCTTCTCTGATTGTCCATTTTCTGGTTTTTGCTTCTGCTGGGAATTCAAGGCATTTTAAGGGTCTTTAAGGCTGACAAATGTGCATGGTAGCTGTCATTAATGTCTTTGTGTTCAAAACTCCATCCACATCCCCAGGATCCTAGCGTGCTGCTAGAAATTGAAGGTCTGGAGTGTGAATTAGAAGCTTTGCGACTGGAAAGTAAACTTAATATGTACCTTCGAGAAGCCGTTGAGGTAATGCCTTAAGCCCAAGTAAGAGTTGCCTTGGACTCACCGATCCCTGGGGTCAGAGCAGCCTTGAGGGCCCTGGGGCAGCATGACAGTGAGGCCCCTGGGTGCAGGAAGCCAGAGGCCATGGAGCACACAGCTGAGAACAGGAGAAGTGTGGGGCTTGAGGAAGGCTCAGCACACGGTTGAGTATGTTACACAGGTCCTGAAATTCCGTCCTTGAGCCTTCTTTTGCTGGAAAGAACCCACAACACCAACCAGAGGTGATTCTTCTCAGGTAGTGAATGCAAGACGCAAGCTGTAGTAAGTAGACTCCAATAAGAAATAAATGGACTCTGTCTGATAGCACTTGTGCAAAAAAACACAATGAGCCACAGCCATGTCTAAGCCTTTGGCTGATGTCTTGTAAAGACCCCACTACAGGATAGTGGCATTCTCAGATCAGGGCCCTGGTCTGATGATCGGGAGATGGCTTACCTCTGACCCCATAATCTGCCACCTACTCTGACTGCTATCCCCAGCACTGGCTCGTCCAGGTGGTGACCAGGACTAGCTTCCCGTTCTAGCCTCACACCCTCAGCCAGCCATTCAACATGCCCCCCTACAGGAACAGCTGGGCATTATAAAGAGACTGGACACCACACTGCAGCAGGCCATCCGCCTGGGTGACCCCAAGACCATCCATGTGCTGTGCACCACACAGTGGAACGCCTGCCTGCCCCTGCTGCAGCGCAACCTGAGGGGCCACCTCCGGAGGCCTCTGACCAACATTGCTGAGATTCTGGAAAAGATTGACAGGTGGGCACCACTTATTCTGTGTCGTCCTCAGGGACTCGCCGTGGGGGAGAACCGGGATAGAGATTCTTAGTACTATAAACGGAGCCCAGGGTGTGTCCCCCACCTGCGGGGTGCACAGTTATACCCCACTTGTTCAGCTAATTCCTTCCAGTCACCCAAGCAACCCAGATCAAGAATCCTCATGACATAAACAGTCCTCGCTCTATCCACCTGTCAGTGTATGGTGATGGGGTTATCTGGGCAGAGGCTAGGAAATGTGTCCTCGGTGGCCATTTTGGACATGTGGTGGATGGGCTAACATCAGAAGCCAGAAACCCCTTCTTCTAAGTCCACCTCTCTTTGCTCACACCATACTGCAGGGTCTTTGTAATTCTCTATACTCACAAACATTTAGTTTTAGCAATCCTTTGACTTCAGCTCTGTCATCCTCCATGTGTGCACTTGTATTAGACAGAAGATGTTCTTTATTGCCCTTCATGAGCAACCATCCTTCCTGTGCTGTTGATGTTTGTCTCTCCATTTTGGCAACCCACCTTCTTAGATCTTATGACTCTTCACAGTTTGACTTTATAAAATGAGTTATGAGGTGTCTTTTATATTTTTAATTTTTTTCCAATGTATTCAAATCTTTATATCCTGATTGTATCCCCTCCCTCATCACCTCCTGGTCCCACTCTCCCTCCCCCTTCCCCCTAGTTCCCTCCCCTAGTTCGCTGAATGGGAGAGTCCTCCTCCCCTACTACTGACTCTAGCCTATCAAGACTCACCAGAACTGTCTGGGTCCTCTTCCTCCGTGGGCTGGCAAGGTCACCCCTAGGGGTTAAGTGATTAAGAGCAGGCAACCAAGTTCATGGCAGAGACTGCCTCTGCTTCCCTTACTAGGGAACCCACATGGAGAGATGGCTACATCTGAGCAGACGGTCTAGGTCCTTGGTTGATACATCAGTCTCTGCAGGAGCCCCTAGGTCCAGATTTTTTGGCTTTGTTGGTCTTTTGTGAAGTTCCTGTTCCTTCTGTATCCTTCTGTCTGCCCCCCCCCCTTTCATAAGACTCCCTGCACTCTGCCCAAAGTTTGGCTATGAGTTTCAAAACCTGCTTTGGTCCACTGCTGGGTGGAGTCTTTCAGAGGACACCTATGGTAGGCTCCTTTCCTGTTCCCTCTCTTCCACTGCTTCAGGTATCCATCCTGTTTGCCTTCTAAATGAGAATTGAGCATCCTCCCTAGGGTCCTCTTTGTTGTTGAGCTTCTTAGGTCTGTAGATTTTCATATATTTTATCCTATATTATATGGTTAATATCCACTTAAGTGAGGATATGACATGAGTGTCTTTCTGGTTCTGGGTTACCTCATTTAGGATGATCTTTTCTAGTTCCATCCATTTGCCTGCAAATTTCATAAGTTCCTTGTTTTTAATAGCTAAGTAGTATTCCATTGTGTAAATGTACACAATTTCTGTATCTAGGTTGAGGGACATCTAGGTTGTTTCCAGATTCTGGTTATTATGAATAAAGCTGCTATGAGCACAGTTGAGCAAATGCCCTTGTTGAATGGTGGCACATCTTTCAGGTATATGCCCAGGAGTGGTATAGCCGGATCTTGAGATAGCACTATTTCCAATTTTCTGAGAAAGCATCAGATTCATTTCCAAAGTAGTTGTACAAGTTTGCATTCCCACCAGCAGTGGAGGAGGGTTCCCTTTTCTCCACATCCTCTCCAGCATGTGTTGTCATATGAATTTTTTATCTTAGCTATTCTGATGGGTGTAAGATGGAGTCTCAGAGTTGTTTTGATTTGCATTTCCCTGATGACTAAGGACGTTGAGCATTTCTTTAAGTGTTTCTCCACCATCTGATATTCTGTTGGAAATTCTTGGTTTAGCTCTGTACCCCATTTTTAAATTGGATTATTTGGTCTGTTGGTGTGAGACAACTTCCTGAACAGAACACCAACAACCCAGGCTCTAAGATCAACAATTAAAAAACAGAACCTCTTGAAACTGAAAAGCTTCTGTAAAACAAGGGACACCGTCAACAGAACAAAACAATAGCCTGCAGACTGGGAAAAGATCTTTAGCAACCCTACACCCGACCCAAAATATATAAAGAACTCAAGAAAGTGGGGTGTCTTTCCAAAATGACTTTCCAGCAGAGCTGATACAGTTTCCCATAATCAACAGTGAAATCATCCAGGTGCCAGGGGGGTGCTTGTCTAGTCATCTATATCCTGGGAAGGTCTTCAGTCCTGAGACCGTCCCTAAGCCTGGACTGAAATGAGTGAGCCTATCCTCCACAGCACTGGGTCACCATGCTTATCTGGTCACGTGGCTCATGAAGACATCCTGGGTCTTGTCAGTTTTTTGAAAGATACCAGGGAGGGGGGCACTGCACCCCCCAGTCAGGCCGTGACGCTCTGCCTCATTCCCTCCAAACTGGCAGATGCACTCAGCGTTAAGGCTGTCTGCGTGCCTACCCTGGCAGTCTATGTTGTTTGATGCAGATGCCAACAGGCCTGCTCCCCACGCTCACCGCTGCACGGCATGTCTATCAGTCCTTGCTTCCAAATGAGCAGCCTGGGTGCTCACCAACACCCCCTTCCTCTCTTCATTCTGCCACTGCTCTGTCCCCAGGAGCTAGTTGGATATTCAAGAATTCCCTCTGCCTTCTGTTGTCTTCCTTGCTCCTATGAATCTCGTGGGAGAGGGGCTCCTCCAGGGTCAGTGCTGGGCTCCCTTTACCTGCATGAGATGCTCAGTTCTCATCACCCCTCTCCCCACCTGTGGAGATTCCAGCATTATGCCACCATGGTGCCACCCCACAGCTAACCTGTGCCTATTTCTGGCAATCTTTTCATTTGAGGAAAACCACGGCCTCTCATGCTCACCTCATCTTTTTAGGAATTCCAGGATCATCTCCTTCTTCCAGAGAGCAGAGTTCTCTAGCTGGGGGCACCCATCCTGGAGAACGGGACATGGCTGGTGGACACCTTAGCTTTGCTGATCTGAACTGGTCCCATGCCATCTCAGTTTCAGAGAACATGCTGCTTGTTGCTGGATGCCGAACTGGCCGATAGAAGGAAGGGTTTTTCCTTCTGGTCTCCATGATCTCTAATGGAAAGCTATTGCAGTATGGTCCCCGTGTGCCTCCTTTTGCCCCTCCTATTTTCAAGCTTATCTTTTTAATTTTTTAGCATTTTGATTATATTATTTTTAGGAGCCTTTTTAAAATTTAGTATAATTCAAGTATGTTAAATGGCACTTTCATGAAATTGGGGGGAGTTATGAGCTACTGTTTCTTTGAACACATTCCTGTTTCTGGGATGCGAGCTATACACATGTGGAATGTGGAGGGCTTCTTGCAGCTCCCGGGACTGTTTGGTTTTTCTAATCAGGCCATTTCTGTTTCCAGACTCACGATCTTCCTGGCTGCCCACTCTGCCATCATACCTGGCTAGAATGGTCCTCCTTTCACTTACCACAGCTGTTAAGCCTAGTGTTTACTCGTTACCGCTGTTTTCCCTATATTTGTGAGCAGGTTCACGACATGCATTTTGTAATATCCACGTGAAAAGATTTATCTGCAAAACCCAACAGCCAGCCTACCTGTGTCCTGACCCTGTGTTAATATTTTTCTGTCTCCTGGCAGAACTGATGACTCTGTATTAAGCATTCCGGGTGGTGTCCTGTGGAGTCTTTGTGTTTTTCTTTGTTTACCACAGGGTCCTACATAGCTTGTGGACAATGCAGCCCTGAACTTTGAATTTGTTACATAAATCAGGTTGGCCTCAGACTTGCAATGATTCTCCTGCCTCTGCTTCCCAAATACTATGATTACAAGCACGAACCATCATTGCTGCAATCTTAAAAAGAAGCGTTTTTGTTTTAGTGGCCAGTTCAATGTTAGCTGGTGGTCTTAAAATCACATTGGCTGCTCCAAATCTGCTCTAGTGCATCTCTGGAGGTCCAAATGTTTCCCACACCCATCCCAGAGAGAATCTGCCCCATGACACAGGCTCTGTACAGGCTGAGCCTTGTGTTTTGCTGGGGGCAGAGGTACAGGGATCCCTGCCTCTCAGTAAGCCCCTGCTTTGCCTGCTACCTGCTCAACTCACAGGACACTGTGCCCACCTGCTCTGCCTCTCAGCAGCTCATGGCTACCTCCTTCACGAGTTTCTTTCCAGGGGATCCGGATCTCATGCTATGCAGCATCTGTCCCTAAAAGCAGCCGCCTTCTCGTTAGATGTTGCCGACAATAGGGCGACTTTATCATATTTGGAAGCAGAAGCAACTATAACCTTAGGCCAGCTATTGGGCTTATTTTCAGGTCATGGACTGTGGTTCTACATTCGCTGGTTGTGGCTGTCATCGCTGCACCCCGTAGGCTGCTCCATGAATGATCCCGGCTGTCCGCTCCGGGCAAGTTTCACATGGGCATCTCTTCATCCATCCACAGTAGGCACAGTATCCACAGTAGGCACCAGGTTCCTGCTTCTTTGGGTAGCAGAGCTTCAACACCTGATCCCAGGGGCTCTCTCTGCTTCTCTACACAGCCTCAAAGTATTTACGTTTCCCCCGAGGCCGTGAGAATATTACTGTCACTTTGATTTCTCTATCTTGGCAGAAAGTCAGTGAGCCACGGGTCACTGGAGCATCTCCATCTAGTTGTCCATAGGTTGCTAGCTCTGCGTCCTGCAGCAGTGCTCGAGGTGGCCCCTCCAGCACTACTGTATAAAGCTATTGCTTAGACGCAGGGGCTTCTCCAACCCTGGCTGAGCTCTAGCCATAATGTGGCTAAGCCTCCTGGGCAAATGTCCAGTCTATCCATCAGACAAGGACAGTGAACTGTGGCACTGACACCAAGTACATTCCAGGAGAGAAGTACATCACAGTGGACAGCAGGCTAGCAATGGCATCTAGGTGGCTATGGGAAGGCTGAGCCTGCCCTTGTGCTCACCTCCCAGTGGGAAGCACTACATGACCCTCTCTCTGTCTGCTTCTTCTCAGCCTGAGTCAAAGGCTCAGTGAGCTTGCCTCCAGTGGTCTATAGCAAGAATTCCAATTTTTATCTCCCTTTGTGAGGTTTCAAGACAAGACAGGAAGGAAGACGAAGAGCAGGGCTCTGGACAGCTGTATAATTTCATGCCTCTTGATGGTGACTAGGAAAAAAAAAAAAGTCCCATAGGCTCACAAGCAGAGCTCTATAGCTTCCTCATGTGTGCTTTTCTCTCTAGTCTCATGACCCAGATGCGCTGCCAAGTCCACATGGAGTTGTCATATATCGAGCAGGATGAGGACCAGCTGGAGCCTGCCATTGTGCATATGCAGAAAGCCATGCGCCTGGACAGCCTAGGTCTCTACCACGAGAAGAGTAAGATGGCTTACAACCGGCTGAAGTTGTGTACCATGCTGTACCAGTCACCTGACCGTCCTGAGGACCAGGCCACTATGGCCATTGAACAGGTGCAGACCTAACCCAGTGTGGCACCGTCCTTTGAATGAAAAGATCAAGGGGGAACCTTGGAACAGAGAGAGCCTAGGGGACCATTCAGAGCATGGGACCATTCAGAGCATGGGGCCATTCAGAGCATGGGGCCCAGGCTCAGCTACCCAAGGTCTGCCTGGCACCCAGAAGGCCTGTGGGAGCTTCATTCCCTGAGAGTGGAACCATAGGATTTCCTGAGATTCTCATCTGTCCTGGAGTGGGCAGGGAGGCTGCCCCAGATGTCATGCACATCATACTGTCTACAGGCGAAGAAAGCCACCCAGAAGGACAGCGTCCGAAAGAAGCGTGCACTCCTGGTGAATGCAGGCCTGGCCCTTGCCCCTGACACCTTCCAGATTGTGCTGGACAGCGAGAATGAGGCCAAAGGTAAGTGCTGCCCTCGAACTCACTGCCCTTGACACTATCGTGACATGCCTTATTAGTCGATGGACCTCCTAGAGAGGGATTGCATGTACAAGTCGCTGTTAGTAGCAGAACACCACAGCCAGGGCTTAACCTCACTGTTGTAGAGGTTGGACGTCTTGTGATGGCAATGTGGTGGCCTGGTCTCTCTTGATGACACCTTCCCTGACTTATAGATGGTCATCTTTGTCTCATGTCCTCACTGGCTGTCCTATATGTCTACCTCAATGTCCTCTTTATATAAGGATTTAGTCAAACTGAACAGGACCCTCCCCCATGGTCTCTTCAGCCTTATTGCCTATTAAGACCCCATCTCTTGAAAATAAGACTTTATTCTGGAGACACAGGGACAGGAATTGGAAACAGCCTATCTGGGGACACAAGTCAGCCTATAGTACCATCCAAGGAACAAAGATGATGGTTCTGGGATGCTCTTTGGATCAAAGCTAAGTCTGTTTCACTTACCTGGACCACTTACTTTGTTTCCAGTGTAGAAAAAGGGTTTGTATTGTATCCTAGTTGTGGCTGCTGAGCCCAGCTCTCGGGGACAAACCAGCAACTCTGGCTAGATAGACAGTGCCACTCTCTCTGGAGTCTCGTGTTGTGCGGGCACTCTTCTGGGGCCCCCTCCAGCACAGCTCTGACAAAAAAAAGTGATACAGGACTCGGCAGACTGAAGTTGAGTTGTTGCGGGTCCAAGGCATGGGACAAGAAGGGGAGGATGGAGTCATGGCTCTGTGTTAGGATAATTGAAACCTCTGAAATATAGGTTTTTTTCAGGCCCAGAGCTGTCTGTCTTACTCCGCCGTATGCTTTGGTATTTGCATTGCTCTGGCTTTGCTTCCCCCCTCATGAGTCTGAGCAGCTATAGGACTGTTGACATCCCATGGGTGGGTCTGCCCTCCTTGGTTGGTTCATTTAGTTGGATTAGTGTAAAAAACTGACCAAGAGTTTGCATCTTCACCAGAGGACATAGTGCCTAGCTGGCACCAATAGGAGACGCTGAGACTCGCTAAGGTATGTGGGGAGGGTAACCCCAGCAAGGGAATACCTGTGCTATATAGGGAAGCACAGAGGAGGCAGGCGGCTAACCAATAGGGAGTACATTCCCACCACCGCCACCCCAACCAGTTTCCTATCTGGCATCTCCTGTGCCTGGCTCTGCACTGAGCATCTGGCTATCACTATGAATCTGATCTCTAGATAGTTAATCATCTTATCTCTGGAAAAGGAGCAGTGATTCAGAACCTCAACATCAAACAGAGAGAACCGCTGGACGTGGAAATGGATAGTGGGTGCTCCCTGAGGGGACAGAGGCTGGTGCTTCTGAGCTGACATAGGCTATTTCTGATGGCTGAAGGCTCCACGTACCCCACAGTAGCTCAGTGTCACTGCGGATCCAAAAGCCCTAACGATAAAGCACTAATGATGCAGTGGTGGCGGGGCCCCCTCATCACCCCCAATGAGCTCAGCTGCTGAAACCTCATTTGCAGACTATGGGCCTGTTCGCCTGGGTCGGCAGTGCCTAGTCCGTGCCCAGTCCTGGCACACCTTTTTAGCTCAGCTGTTTTCTGCTTTCAGTGTCTGCTGGGAAAATCAAGGGTCGCTTCACCTACCTCTGTGCGAAAGCTCGGCATCACATGCTCAGCGTGGAGAAGGCTGCTGGACACCTGCGGCGTCTGGGATATGAGAATAACAAAGAGAGGTGATCCAGGGAGGGAGGGGCAAAGGCACGACGCGATGCCAGCCAAGGAGGGTCTGTCAGCCGAGACCTTCATCCAGGCACCAAGTCCATGGCTGCCTGGGACCCCGAGAGGGATGACAAGCCACCGGTGTTCCACGTGCTGCCCCATGTGCTGAGAATTTGGCTTTCTCCTGTGGAACAACTGACCATTGATTAGGGCCTGCTGACCAAGGTCACCACAGGAGTCCCCAACCCAGGGATATCCATCTACACCACACGCAGGGAAATGAATTATGCAGGGGCGTTTCTCATTGTTAAATGACAAGAAGTGCCACTGACACTGGGGAGAGGATAGCACATAACCTTGGAACAGGTCTAGCTCTGACCTCTGGGCCTTGACCCTAGGAATTGCTCTAGCTCTGACCCCTAACTTAGGACCTCCCACCTCACCCAGCTACCCAGGACTATCTTCCCATCCACACTCTCAGTCAGTTGCACTTCTCTGTCTCCAGTCACTACTGGGGCACTGTAGGGTGGCTTTCCCCTGGACCAGTCCCTCCAGGTGTTCCTAATTTCACCTGTGCTTCCTTTTTGCCACCTGGATCTTGATGAGCAGAATTGTGATTTGGGCTGAGCTGGCCAAGGTGGCCTGGACGCAAGATGTGTGGGATGTCTGTCGCACGGCAACCCGCTTCTGCCTCCTGTATGACATCAGGTCAAAGAAGGCTGCCAAGATAAAACGAAGTATGTGTCCCTGCCATGTGTCCCCCTGGCATGTGGGTAGGCTGAACCTAAGAGCCTCATGAGCCTCTGGTGGCTGTGGTAGCCACAGCACCTCTGAATTAGCACATCCCACCAAGAGACCCCAAGCAAAGAGCACAAACACAGAGCCAGTGTGGTGACCTCTTGGAAGGGTCCCAGTCCCGCGCTTGGGTTTAGAAGAGCCTTTTCACAGATAGCAACGTTTCTGATTACTTATCTGGTCTGGCCTCTATATCTGTGGGCTTCATCTCTATACAGGGTCAACCACCAAGGTTTGAAAATATTTGCAACAGAAACAAGCATCTCTGCTGGGCATACACTGTTTGCTTCCTGACTGTCACCCTCTAAGCATTGCCCTTTAACAGTGCTCCACACAGTGCACACATTGCAGTCAGTGTCAAGGTCAGCTAGCGATGATTTAAAGCTCAAGGGAGGACTATGCAGGTTCCATGTGTCCACGGCAGCATTTTACAAAAGGGGCAGGGCCTCAGTACCCCTGGGGGTCCTGGCAACTGTGCCTACAGCCAGCCCACAGTGGCAATGATGTGAAGGATACAGGCTTATACCAACTCAGGCTGTCCTTCTTGAAGGGCTTGTCCCACAGAGAGCTGGGCAGGACTTGGGCAGTAGGTGGGGAAGGAATTGCTGTGGTTTTGGTTGCTCAAGAAGAGTCTCTCTTTCTCTGCTGCTGTTCCTTCAGTGAAGAAAAAAAAAGGCCCAGAGGGCTTCCAAAGTGAGTGGGGTACCTCTGAAGTGAACCTGCAAAAGCAGATGGCCTCTAACTTGCTGAGGAAGATGGCGGAGGTGTCATTCATCAATGCTGAGGTGCGTCATGAAGGTCTTGGCCATGGTAGCTGCCAATGTTGATGTGGCCAATGAACACACCAGAGAGATTTGTCATAAGGGTTACCCTCTTAAACACACACACATACACACACACACACACACACACACACACACACACACACACACACACCTCCTAAACAGAACTGCACATTAGAGAGAGAAAATTAATTCAGTTCTTGTGGACTGCACAAGAAAAGCGAGGACTGAGGTGTATCGTGGTATGTGTTGGTGTATATTTCTTGTGGGAAATCATTTCTGAATTCAGGATGTGAAGTCATATTTGGTGATTGAGCTTGGCGTTGACTTAGGAAGCTCTTGAGGGAGATGTCATCTCTGTTGTATGACTCTGTGGAACCAGCAAAGCCTTGGCCTGGGTTTTGATCTCTGGCTCCAATAGGCCTGCTCCCTTACAGGCTGAGGTAAAGTGCTTGCCCTGCCCAAAGCTAACCATGTATTTTGTGACCCAGGGGCATTCAAAGCCCTTGAGTGTGAGCTCTCCACCTCTCCACCTGTACCAATGCCAGAGGCACCATCAGCCATCTGTTTTATCCTCACAGCAGCTACAGCATTTCCTTTGGTTTTACTTAGTAGGCACAAGGCAGAGGCTGAGGCATGCACTGTTTTATTCCATTAGCATCGATAGACCCAGCATGACCAAAGGCAACCCCTGTACTCAGGAAGCAAATTGCCAGATGGCAGAGCTGAGAGTTGGCATGCAGGAGACCAGTGGCTGAGGTTAACTAACTAGTTTATCAGACAGGGGCTGGCCTGATCCATGTCCTCCCAACCCTCTGCCCGCCAGGTGGGCTTTGTAGCCTTTGATGTTGCAGAGCAAGTTTGGGAGGCTTCAGGGAGATGAGCCATCAACTAGCTGCCATGGGAGAACATAAAAACTGTTCTGCCCACCCGCAGAAGTGGGCTGTGCTTTTGAAATAAGCCCTTCTCTCCTTGAGATGCATTGAATTGGGAGGCTGCTGAGGCAGGTGGGGTGTGTGGGCCCATCACGCACTCTTTCTAACTTGTGTTTGGCTTTTCAAAAGCGGAGTCTCAGGAAAGAGGCTTTGCTATGCGTTCTCCCAGTTCTGGGGTCTGCCTAGCTGTGAGTTCTGTAACTGTATACTCCCCCGCAGGCCACTGTCCACTTCCTGCGCTTAGAAGGTGTGGAGCTCAATGAACAGGTCATCCCTCCTGAGGACTTGAGCCAACACGCAGCTGGCTACGTACCTGAATCACCAGATACCAATCCGGAGTGGATCACATACAAGTGGGTGGGAGTCCCAGCCACCCTGTAGAGCAGTGGTTCTCAGCCTGTAGGTCACAACCCCTTTGGGGGGGGGCTCACATATCAGATATTTATATTACAAGTCATAGAAGTAGCAACATTAGTTATAAAGTAGCAACGAAGTAATTTTAAGGGTTGGAGGTTGCCACAAAATAGGAACTGTATCAAAGGGTCCTTGGGTCGCAGCTTTAAGAAGGCTAAGAACAACTGCTGTCCACCAAGGGTTGAAGAATGTGCCTCATTTGCCCAGGCCCAGTTGTGGATGAAGCAAGATAAACATGTTATAACCCGGGATGTCAGTATGCAGCCACAGCTAAGAGTAGCTTGGACACATCAAAACACCTCTAGAACACCATAGAAGAAGCAGGATACAGAGACTTCGGCAACTCACTAAAATGCCTACTAAAATGCCAATGGCTAGCGAGGCTCAGGTGGAATCTGGGGTCAGTTGTATGAAGGAAGCCGCACTGAAGACAGTCCCTCTAGAGCTTGAATTCCTGGCCTGTACAGATAGACTGAAATGCCCTGAAAACCGGAGTGAGGATAACCAGGAGAGCCCACATACACTCCTGCAGCAGTATATGAGATAGGGAAGGTGGAGGCTGGGCATTGAGCTGATTGCTGCCTGGGTGTGTGTGTGTGTGTGTGTGTGTGTGTGTGTGTGTGTGTGTGTGTGTTTCAGAACTTGGATAGAAGGCTTGTCACAGTATGCCATGAACAACTGGCTGCGTGCTGCAGAAATTGGGCAGGAGATAGGGGAAGCCTGGATTGTGCAGAACGCCGTGGTCTACGTTATGAACCACAACCGGCATCTCATCTTGGCTGGGAGGCAGAAAGAGCTGGTGGATTCCCTGTATCACCTCCTGAACAACCTCAAGGCCACCGGCTACAAAGGGTGAGTGTGAGCACCCACATGTGTTTACGTGTGGGGGTCCTAGCTGTGGGGTCAGGGCATGACCACTGTTTTTGAGTTTTGAGGCTAGCAGGCATGAGCATGGAGAAGGCGCTCAGCCTGCACTCTGATGACGTGGCCTCCACAGCCCAGGGTACTCACACCCACTTCACTGCCCTCTGCTGGCACTGCTCTAAGCCCTCACAAAGAGGTCAGCTGAGGCCCAGGTACTGTGTGAAGCAGCTCTGTGGTCATCCCACCTTGGACTTGGGGGTGGGGAGAGGGTGGGATTCCATGACTATATGTTTCTTATCTAGATGAGTGAGAACTTGGACTAATGTTTCCCTGGCAGAAATTAAAAATCTAAAAGCATCATGTTGGGCTGGGTTTGAGGTCAGCCTGCTCTACAATGTGAGTTCCAGGACAGCCATGGTGACTAGCGAGAACCTGCCAAGAGGAAAGAAATGACAAGAGGGAAGAAGGGATGGAGGGAGAGAGGGAGGGAGGGAGAAAGGGAGAAAGGAAGGGGGGAGGGAGGGGAAGAAATGAAAGCGAACTAGTACTCAGCAGCACTTACTATGGTCTGTGTTCTGAAGCACAACCATCATCTCGTCCTGGCTGGGAAACAGAGGGAGCTGATGTGGTGCTGTGAGTTTCTGCACGGCGCTAAGCCCTATCTTGCCCTGGCTGTCACAGCTCTCACGTTATCCTCCAGGAACTCAGTCATGATGGTCACGCTCTGTAACACCCTTGCTCGAGGCCTGATCATCAGTTCCATTCCCACCCAGCCACATGAGAAGTCGAAAAAGGGCGCGCGCCCCGTCTTGATTCATGCTCCACTGGACTCATCTGCTTTGACTGAGATCAGAGCAGCCCTGGAGGTCTCCCACCCCGCAGCCCAGGGGTGTGGGCATGGGTTAACTTGATGACTGGGCACAGAGAGCAGGGGCGGGGGGAGGAGGCCAGAGGGCAGAGGGAGGAAGGCTGAAGGTTCCCTCTTAGATTTGTGTTGTGGTGAAAAAGCGTTTCTTTTAGGTCTGTGAGTTCGCACTGAACCTCACGAATGGGAATGTGAAGGAAAACATTGTCCCCACCAGCGTACGGCAGTACCTCATCGCCACCTGGGTGAAGGCCAAGCAGCTATTACAGCAGCAGATTGGGCCTCGGCTAGGCATTGAGGAGCAGGTAGGTGCTGAGGACAGTAGCACCTGCAGACTGCCCTTCCCTAGTGTTCTTATTATACTCTTTGATTTGACCATAGTTGTCGGGAAGGGGCTACGTCCACCTAGGAAACTCTGAGGTCATTCTCTACCATCACCAAAATTGCCGCTCTCCAGAGCCAAGGCAAAAAAATCTCCAACCAGCTCTAAACTCTGGGCCTGTGGGGGTGCTGCCCACTCTCACTGCCACTCATCGGCAGAGTCAACTCTTTGGCAGCACCTCCACAAAGGACTATGGGATCAGGGTCTGCAGAGAAGAAAGAAACAGTATGAATTCAAGAATCCCCACCATGCCCCTGACCCTGAAGCAAATAAATCACTGTGGGGAGCCAGGGGCGGGGGAGCGAGGGAGGGTTCAGGAGGGATATTTATGCTGGGCAAGGCAGAGGGGTTGATGAGACACCTCATACCAGATGTCTCCTTCCCAGGGCTCAGCAGCCTTCCCCCTCTGGAAAACCTCCCTACTAGCCAGACAACATTGTCTTCAAGGCTCAGGGATGTATAGACTTCAGACCTTGTTGCTTAAGAGAACAGCGTAGAGGTTAATTTTATCAAGCTGGCTTACGATAACATATCTAAATACTGTGGTCTGGTCATTCCTTGAGACTAATGCTGCACAGGTTTATCTCCAAAATGGTCCAGTCCTGGTCCCCACAGCTTTCTTTCCCTGTTCCCTGGGCAGTTGAATACTCTAGCCCTTCTATGTTTCCAGAGCACCAATGAGGATATCAATGGTGTGACCAGAGTCCTTGTTGCCCTTGAGATGTACTCCTGCAATGGATTGGGCCTCATGGATTTCAATGTGCCCCCCCTAGCCCAGGTGGGTTACCCCAGGTATCCCAGGAAGTAAGTCAACAGCCTCCACGCATGAAAGATGGAGAAGCTGAGGCTTAGGATCCTGACTGAGGTAGTCAGAACTCAAACCCGCATCCACACCCACGCTACATCTCTCTGCCTCCCGACAACTGCCTTCTTCTCAAAGCACACGACTCTGGCTTTTGTTTGAAACAGTCCCATAACCAGTGTGATGAGCATGCTTCTCTGACTGACCTTTCTGTGTCATTCTTCATCCCAAGCCCTCAGCACAGGCAAAAATGTAAGAGAGGCTAGGCATGCCTTGTAGAGGTGATCTTGTGTGATGGGAAAGCTGTGAGGATGGAGCAACTGTGATCAGTAGCAAGTTTTACACTGCAGCTAGGCTTCATCATATATGCTAAGTAATCCATGGCTTAGCATGTGCAGCTATCATAAGATTGATGAAGCTCACTGGGTTGGCAGCACAGTCACTGTTGAGGGTCACATACCACTAGACAGCCATCGTCGCTAATGTCTGAGGTCCTTCTCTCCTGTTTCACATGCTGGGAAGGTGGCGAAAATGGCTTCTGAGTGCATCTGGACAGAACCTCTGATGGAGCTGCAGACCCTGACACGCCTCACTCACTTCTCCTATGTGAATCATGACTACGAACTCACCATGACATGTTCTCAGAATGCCACACGGATGGGCCTCAAGAGGCTGAGGTCGTTTGAACAGTAAGTGATCTCCACAACTTTGTCCTAGAGGCCTACAGTAGCATCCCCAAATAAGCAGAATGAAGAGTGTGAGCCCATGCCACAGAGCAGGGGCCCTAGGTGCAGCCCTGCTGAGCAAGAGATGGCTGTCAGGAATCCAACTGCCATGGTCCTTCATCTGCTGCTGGCTGGGTGCTTGAGAACAACACAGTGACTGGGGCCCTCAAAGCTCTGCGTCAGTCATGACTCATAAGCCACATAGGCCTTAGTTAGAAGGTCTACGCAGCAGCTGTCTGTGTGTGATAGATAGCTAAGAGTTCTCTTGGTTCTCTTGGTTGAGGCTGCTGAGATAAAATACCACAACTGGGGAGGCCTAAGAAATGGTGACGTATTGTTCTGATATACAAGCTGGGTATTCAAGTTCAGTTGCTGCCTATTTCAGAGATGGCCACCCCATATGGTAGAAGAGGCAAGAAGCTCCCTTCTATTCCTTTATGGGCAGAGTTCCATCCCGAAGCTCCAACCCTCCACCGCACTACCGTCACCTCACAACAGCCCTTCTACCGATGCCACCCCCAGCAAATTAGATTTCAGCATGTGACTTTAGGGGACACATAGGGTACTCATATGAACCATGTTCCAATACTGATACAGACAACTTTGCCAAAGTGATTTTGGAAGGAGCAAGATGCATGACGCTGAAATGTAATATCGCTTCGCTGGAGGACTTAACCCTGGAGAAGCCATCGTCATGCTTGTTGGATAGGAGACAGCATCGCTGTCGGGTCTCCCATGGCAACTGCTGGAAGTTCCCAGTCCCCAAGTGCATCAGTTGCTTTCCTCATTGCTGTGGGCTGGTTAGACGCAATCTAAGGGAGGCAAGGCTTATTTTGGCTCCTGGCTTCAGGGTCCAGTCCATTATGGGGGGAAGGGTTGGCAGCAGGCTGCTGAAAGGCAGCTGAAGTGTGCAGCTGGGATCCCCCACCATGTATTTTGTTCAGCAGAAAACAGGGAGCTGGGAGAAAATATGGCCAGGCTACAAAACCTCACAGCCTGTCTTCAAAGGCTGGCTTCCTCCAGCAAGATGTCACTCTTAAAGATCCTACAACCTCCCCCAAAACAGTGCCACCATCTAGGAACCACGGCTCACACCCACGAGCCTGTGAAGGACGTCTCTTAGTCAACCCCACAGCACCAGTAAAGCACCAGAACACTCCCGTCTTCCTTCAGCTTCTACAAGGTTCTACCACGCTGATGTGTGATCAGAAAACTTAGTCTTTCCTGATTCCTGAATATGGGGCTATTGTGAAAAGTGGTGGTGTGACTAACCGCCATGCAGTCAAGACTGGCTTCCTCGGGCCTCTCTTTTTTTTGGCTTCTTTTCTGAGCCCAGTTATCCTGAAAGATAGAGCCATGACCCAGGTCTTTGAAGGTGCTTCCATTTCCCAGTGGCCAGTTTGATCAGTGGTCCCCAAATCCACAGAGTTCTTCCCCATGTCCATGTCCTCAGTCTTGGGCCATGGCTACCAGCCTTGACTTCTGAGCCTTTTTGATGCACTCCTGGTGTGGTGGCAATGCCAGCCTGTGCTGGCAAGATTTAGGGGGCATGTGATATCTGCCTCCTGGTTGGTCAGACCCCCGTGAGGACAAGGTCAAGCATGTGTCTTGCACACAGTGGCAGCTCCAAGCTGTGTTCATACTACTGCTGAGAATCGGAGAGTCAGCTGAATGCTGCAAAAGCAACTTTTATTCACCTGGTTCAATTGTCATCTCTGAGGATTACTGCCTCTGCCTGCTATTGTGGGCCTAGTCCTGGAAGCTTCTAGCCTCCATACAATCTAACCTAGGCCTAGAATGTCCTCAGCTTCTAGGACTTACTGCTTAATAAGCTCACCCTTTCTTGCTCTTACTGAGCTCTTAGCTGGATGGTTCAATTCAGCTGTTCTGGCTCAAACTCCTCCCCCAACCGACTTACTCAACCCGGCTTTTCCCTCAGCCTCTGAATTGCTCTGCTTGGCCTCAAACTAATTCCAGCAATATGCTCTCATTTTCTGGCTCCTTTTCATTTTCTGGTTTCTCTGTCTTCACCTATGTCTAGCTATGTCTATGTCTAGGATGGCCTATCCTATTTGGTCAAATCTTTCTCTGATTCATCACTGTTTCTGCTGTTTAATTAGACAAACCTGGGTGCCTCCTTCCACAAACTATCTTCACCTTCATTGTTTGGGATTAAAGGCGTGTACCACTATGCCTGGATCTAAGCTTTTCTTTACCTGAAACTTGTTCTGTACCAAGCTGGGCTTGAACTCAGATCTGCTTGCCTCTGGATTAAAGGCGTGTTTGTATTCCAGCCAGATCACACGGACCTAGAAGATCTCTGGGTGTGATCTTTGGCCAGAACAGCCATGTTCTGAATTAAAATTTCTCTACAGAGCCCCCTGACCTGAAATGCCTGTAATTACAGCCTTCACATATCCAGACCCACCTGCACATACAGGGACAGGGACATGGCATCGGGACTGAGGAGGGGGGAGCAGTCCCTGTGACAAACCTGATCATGTAGTTTGTGGGCCTTCAGAACTGGTTTACAGGAGGAACGTGGAAGGGTTTGTAGATGTAGGACTGAAAAGTCATAGAAATACTATACGCAAAATGTAATGGACCATTCTGGTCAGAGTGTGGAAAGGCAGACACTGAGAAGACTCTGCTAGGAGCCCTTGCTCGTGAAGTTTTAGGGAGGAAGAACCCTGTTGGGGGGTAGGCCTATGTTCCTGTTATATTCCAGTAGGGAATCTGGCTGTTTTGTTTTGTTCGTTTGTTTGTTTCTGTGCCTGATTATTTTAGTAAGGGTGAATTCAAAAGCAATGACAAATCCATGGTAGCCCAAAGGCCAAGCTGTGGCATGATTGCTCATGAGTGTTCTTAGTCACAGCTACAGTGAGAAGGAGGGATAAGGGAAGAAAAGGTGAGGCAGCAGGTTCGGGGGAGCTGATAAGGATGGTCCAAGCTAACCGGCTGTGTTCTTAATGAGATCGGTGCCATTGGAGAAAAACCACAGAGGCCACAGGAAAGGGGCCCTGGGAAGTGCGGATTTGTATGAAAATGACACTGAAAGCGCTCTCTGCTCAGGAACAACTGTCTAGGGGAGCCGGATTCAGCCAGCGCATAGGCCACCGCAGACCTAACTGCATCTCAGGCTAGCACCAAAACTCGGCAGGGCTCGCATGCTGCTGGTTTTGCAGGCAGGCAACATGCAAGAGTGTGAGGCTTACAGAGGCTCGCACCCACGCTCTGGAGGCCATTAGGGCCAGACAACGTGTGGCAGAATACCCCCCCACACACCCGAAGGGACACCCTGAGAGGCCATCCCACGAAGTGTGAAGGTGACACTTAAGTTGCACCAGAGACCCCAGGATATTGGAGACGCCAGGACCAGGGGAACCCCCTGAGGAAAGCCTCAGACGCATTCCGGAGCTAGCCCGAGAGAGAGGCTACATGCGTGGCAGGTAGCAGACTTGGAGGGATGGGCTCCCTGGTGCTGCTGGAGCCCACGTGATTCATTATGGTAACTCCAGCTGCTGAGTGAGAGCGAAGGGAGACGTGAGTGGGCACGCCTGGGAACCGGGCTTGAGATTCAGATCGCTCAGAACGGCGCGCTCCTCCTCGAAGGCTGTTGTGTTCTCTTAGTCACAGAACAAAAGAAAACCACAAATGAATGTATTTCCTGAACATGCTGGTGGGAACAGCAGGAAGGCAGTCAAGTAGGAAACTGCTGTCTGAAGACATTCCTGGCTTTGGGTGGGTGGAATCCAGGGTCTTTTATACTAATACATTTCAAAGATGGGCCTATAGGTAGAAGCATGTTAAGTCAAATGCAGAGATGGTGAAGGAGTGGCTTTTAAGAGGACTAAAGAATATCCCAAGATAATTTTAGCTTTGGGTCTGCAGCATTCCAACTCTGCACAATCATGATGTCCTCACCAGTCATCCCTATAGAATCCTAACACTATTTTTTTTTTTTTCTTGAAACTGCAGTTCCCAGGTAGAATGTTATGGCTTAAAGTGATGTGTTTGGGTGTCAAGTTGACAATAGATAGGCTTGTAGTGGTTAATTTATTTCAGTTGCCAGCTTGATTGTATTAAGAAGCACCTAGGACATTAATTAGGCAGATGTCTAGGGTTGTCTGTGACGGTGTCCTCGGAGAAGTTTAACCAAGAAGGGCAGATCCACCTTGAACGAAGGAGGCGCCATCCCATGGGCAGGGGACTGAATTACAAAGGGAGAGAGGAGGAAGCCAGCAGAGCACCGGTACTCCCCCCTCGCTGCTTTCTGTTGCCCATCAGATCTGTGTGGCCAGCTGCCTCTTGCCCCTGCCTTCCCCACCATTGCGTGGATGATGCACACCAGTGATTAACTCCGGGACACAAACAGTACATCAGCATCACATCAAAGGAAGAGAGAAAGGCACCTCCCCCCGGAGTCCTTTAGCCAAGAACTAGTCCAGATTTGAACTCCATGGTCTACTTCATGCACCCATGTCTTCTGCCCTCTTCATGCCTCTACTCCTCTACTTCATGCTCCCCATGTCTTCTGCCCTCTGTCTGTCTGTTGCATGAGTCTAAATCTGGGCCTGCCTGAAGGCTGGGAGTCTGTCTGTCCTATCTGTATGTGTCCAACAAAGGGCTCCCCCCTGTCTTTGTTGAAGAGCACAGGAAGCGTCACATAGGGAAGGAGAAGGGTGGTTTATAGAAGTCTTTATTGGAGTTTTGCAAGGGATCAAGTCACTGACTCCAGCTGGCCCAAACAATAAACATTGTTGTTTATTAACCGATATCCATAACTGATGGCTTTCCACCTTGATGGTAGACTTTAGGGAGTTGCTTTCAAGATCAGTATTCGTTGCTTTCAGTCCACTTACCATAGGCTCTTTGGAGAAAATGGACAAGGCCAGGTGCACAAGATGACTGCAGATTTAGAAGTCAAGCCCTGTAGGGTCAGATCAGAGCTGGCAGAGGTGGTGGTTTTCAACTCTGTACAAGATGCACGTCTATCACTCAAAAGATATCCTTAGGAGAAAAAAAATGGGGGGGGGGGAATCTGCAGAAAGGGTTGTTATGTGTTGTTTGTGCCAATGCACACATCCACAGCGTGCTTGGGCACAGGATGAGAGTTGGGCACAGTGCCAGGCGAGGCTAGCACACTCAGTGATTCTACATTGAATCTCATTTACAAAGAAAATAAAGCAGAGATGCCCATGCACACAAACAGCAACAGGAAACCTGGAGGAGGGAATGCTGAGTAACTCACTGGGCCTTCTGAAATCTTTTATAGACCATTGTTGCCACCTCCTGGTGACTGTTGCCTTTGCACCCTGCTGGCTGCAATGCACCTCTTCTTTTGGCCCTGTATAACAAAGATCAAAATTTCCAACTGTTACTCCCTAGGCTAGGTCTCAACCTCCTTTACACCAGCCTACCAACTGTGAAGAAGCTTTTAATTAGCCTCAGTTTACCTGCAGACCGCAAATTCCTACCGTACAGCAGGTCCTTGCGAGGCTAAGGGCCAGATACACCTTCCTCTACTGGCTCCTTGGAGCACACGTGATCATTTGCTCTAGTAAGCAGGTGCCTGGCTTCTCAGAGCCGCAGGAACCACAGGAAATAGTCCCAGAACAAGCGTATCACTCACAGAATAAGATTTGTGCTGCTGAGCTGAGCAGCTGGGACATGACCTCCACCGCCCACCCCACACCTGCCGCACCCCCACACCCCCTCACGCTGTGTGTGCCCAGACCACAGCTACACTGGATCCGGGAACCAGACCAGTGTCAGAGGAGCCGTGGTGCTGCTCTGAGATGGTACGGCAGACCGGTGTGCCCCTCTCGAGTGCAGTTTGCAGATCGCCTGGGACAAGACTTTCCTTTGATCCCAGGAACCAGAGCTTGGCTGAGGGCAGAGCCCTACAGATGGTTCTGCTAATCTACTGAGGCATGGAAAGATCCCCAGAAATGAATGTCTAAAAGATGGTTAAGGAGTCCGTCTCATGGTCTGTGGGTTTGCTGGACTCTGCCAGTTAGTTCTGATTTGGGGTCTCTCGTAAGAGTAAGAGAGAGCTCATCAGTCAGCCACCCACAGAGCTGATTCTCACATCCCCAGAAGCCCTCTGTGGGTGAGCATCCCCAGGAACCGCCACGGGCCTTACTGTATAGTATCGCTGTGAATGGAAGCACTGAAAGACTGTCCCGTCAGCAACCATCTCGGATACCCAGGCCAGACATAAGCATCTCAGTTCCCTGGCAAGAAAGGCCTCAGAAGGCCAGAGTCACTTGCCTTGCATCAGCAACCAGTTGGGCGAGTCCCTAAGGCACAGGACGGGGTAGGAATGCGCCTCCATCTTGGGATGCACTTGCAGGACCGTGGGTGAAGGGACAGCGTATGCAGTGAGTGGAGCGCAGCATGAATCACTTCCCACCTCTCCCCTAAATCGCCGTCTCCTCTCCAGGACTAATGCCAAGCTTGCAGCAGAATTGCTGTGTACTGTGTCCTGCATCCAGGGCCGCAGCATCATGGAAAACTTGAAAGGCAAGAAGCAGCTACGGCTAGCAGCATCCAAGGCTTTTGTAGAGAGTGCCAGGTACGCAACGGGAGGTGGGGGTGGGAGGGCTGACCTGGCTGAGTGTAAGAGGAAACTGGCGTTGAGCCACAGTGATGCTGTGGGACATTACCAAGTCCCAAGGAAGGAACCAGGCGGTGCCAGTAAGCCTCGGCCTACATCCTGTCATGCAGATGAGCTCACAGACACCAGGACATCCATGGGAAGTACCGGGAGAAGCCCAATAAAGCTGTGAGCTGAGTGGGTACCAAGGAGGTCCTAAGTAGCAGGGGGCAGGTGGACACAGCAAAGGCCAGGCCAGAAGAACCCATCATTGCCCTGGGATGTGGGCAGCACCTGGCCCAAACAATTTGCTAAGGAGGAAGTATGCCAGGCTTGCCCTTTCCTTGGTGCCTGTCATAGAGTGCCAAAGCTGTGTCACCCTGATTCCACTACTTTCCTACAAAGTACAGAAACTTCTGGGATTGGATGTTTCAGGGGAAAGGTGTGGCTGTGGCTGTGGCTGAGAACCTGAGCAGTCAACATCACTGTGGATGAGGCATGTCATTGCAGGTTTGGGGGCCTGGCAAACAACAGTTTCCAAGTGATGATGGCTGCCCGGCACTACTGGAACACATGGGTCCCACTTCTGTTCTCACCAAACAACAGGAAGACGGCCAAGGGATCCCTCCAGCGAATCATCACCATCATCAACAAGACAGAGGGCAAGACGCAGGTACCATAGGGACACGGGCTAGTGTTCTAGGAAGCCTTACCCTCAGGCCTGGCCAGACGCGCTGAAAAGACAGCTTCATAGCATGGCTCCCACAGAGTATGGCTGCCTTGGGACATGGCTTGATTAGGACATGGTCTGTGTGGGACACAACTCTCACTGAACACAGCCCCCATGGGACATTGCTCCCATGGGACTTGGTCCTCCACAAGACAGCGGGCCACACTGGGCATGACCTCTACCAGACACCTCCCACACAACTTCTCCTGCTGGATAACAACACTCTCCCAGAGAGGCAGGAGGTTCCTGGCCAACCCAAGTGGCGACCTCTGACCTTCCTTCCCCCTGGTCCAGACTTCTCTCAAATCCCCTCTTCTTTTTAAACCATTTTTAAAGACATGCTTTCCCCTATTTTCAGTTTTGTTTACGTCTTTCCCTCTTCTGGTTCAGAGTTTATTCTTTTTCTGTTATCTGGAGAATTGAAGGTGGAGTATTGATTTGAGGGTTGATTGTTGTACTGATGAGGGTAGTCACAGCTGTTAGGTTGCCTCCAAGCATTGCTTACACTCTGTCCCATAAGTTTCTTCCTAAATTTTTTATTCCATTGATTTAACATGTCTCACATCATTGAAAATAACTAGATTGTGTTAGGGGACTAGTCTGTGTGCTGGATGTGTGTATATAAAGTGGGCTGTGTAGTATCTGGGACATGTGATGCATGTGTGTGTTGTGCTTTGATGGAATACGTGGATAATGCATGTTGTATGGTATGTGATGTCTGTCACACGGAGTTTGGATTGTAGGTGGAGTGTGTGTGGTATAGGGTTTGGTGTATATGTATAATGTGGCATATGTTGGTTACAGTACAGTGTGTGTGTGTTCAATGTCTGGTGTTCTTACAATCTGGTATGTGTTGTGTGGTATGATATGTGTGTGGTTCTATGTTATGCTATGGTATATACGGGAATGCTGTACGTCGTACGGCGTTGTGTGCACTCTGTGGTGTATTTTGTATGGTACGAGAGTGTGTGGCACAGTGTTGTGCGCTATGGCATCATATGTGTATGGCGCAGGAGGTTCCGGTGTGCGTAGAATGTTGTGGTACGGTCTCTGTGTGCTGTGGGGCGTGTATGATACGGCACACGGTGTGGTATGCATGTGTGGTGCTGTGTGCATGTGGCACGTACGGCTTATGTGCTTAACTCTTTGTGACTTGACAGTTCTGATTTTTTAGTTTTGGCTATTTGTTTGGTTTTGGTTTGGGTTTTGGTTTTGGTTTTGACTGACACTAATGAGGACCAAGATGCAGGAACAAATAGTCCCCTCTAAGAAGTGCCGTTTGTTTGTTTCACTTAAGGGGATAGAGAAAACCCTGCTCCTACACCAGTGGCCAACATCCGACTTCCAGGGCGGAGGGATAGCACTTGAAGGTCAGTTCCTCCCACGCTGGTAGCTGAGGGGCCAATAGGAAAGGGAAGGCTCTGGAAGTTTGAGCATTCCGTGTTTTACACAAGGCGCTTCGATCGTGACTGTGCCCATGAGTACATCTGCTTGTTACTTGATGTCTTGCCTTAAGAGCCTATGGAAGCCTATAAAGCAGAGAACCCTCAGTCCAGCCCTTAACCCTACGAAAGTGGAGAGCCTTCCCATATGACCTTAAGACAGAGGAGTCTTAAGTCTTCCTCTTAAGCATATTTTCTACTATAAACAATTTTGGAGATACACTCTGTGGCAAAACAAAGAAAAGGGAACACCACTCTGACCTCAGAACAACAGAATGACATCCAGTACCATTCAAGTCTTCAAAAAGAATACATTTTCTTCTCAGGACAAGATTCCCTGTCAATCAAGAGCCCTGTGTGTATTATTTGGCAGCTTTTCAGCACTATGGAATAGAATAGTGGGCCCTGCCTTGAGCATGTTAGTCTATTCATAGGCAAAACTGATTTAAAATTAAGAACAAAAGCGAGGCCGTATGTAAGTGAACAGTGTAATGAACCCCTAGAGTTTAGGATATTGGCAAACATTGCAAGAAAAACAACACAGAAAACAGTCTGAGAGGCAGGACTAGCTCATACTGCAAGGGGACATGATGCTAGTTGAGTTAGTTTGCTAAATATGATGCCAGACAGAAGCTACAAGCCAAACTGCCATCATCCTTAGAAGCCATCATTAGATAGGTCAGGAATCCCATGACTAAATTTTCCCATTTTTGGTGCTGGAGGGATAGCTCAGCCGTCAAGAGTACTTAATGTTTTTCCAGAGGAGCCAGGTTTGATCCCCAGTACCCACACAATGGTTTACAACCACCTGTAACTACAATTCCAGGTGATCTGATCCATTGTCATAGTCATACATGTAGTACACAGACACACATGTAAGAAAAAAAACTTATACACATAAAATAAAATAAAGAATGAAACAAAATAAAAAAACCTCCCATTCTGAATCAGATGTAGTATCACACACCTTCAATCCCAGCACTCAGGGAGTGGAAGCAAGCAGGTCCCTGTGAGTTAGAGGCCAGCCTGGCCTGCATAGTGAGTTCCAGGACAGCCAGAGCTACACAGTTAAACTCTCTATCAATCACACAAACAACAATGACAAAATCACCTTCCATTCCAGATGAAAAGCATCCGAAGGTAAAATCAGGCAAGCAGATATTCTGTAGGAGGAGGCACACTTTCAAACAGGCAACAACAAATACACAACTGAAAGTCAGAAAATTAAGGAATAACAATGCCAGAGATCCTCATATCCAACGTGGCAGCTATAGGAATTTCTCACATCAAATGTGGTCAAAGAACCATCAACTACTAGAGCTAGTCAGATGGGGACAGCCCTCTGGCTCAGGGCTCAGCTCTCCCAACCCTTGCTCCCTCTCCCCAGCATGCACCTCAGGCCTGGACCTGAGCTTCTACATGTTAAGGACAGTACTGAAAGGGAGTCCACTATCTCTGCTGCAGAATGACAGGGAGGTTTGACAAGCAGGGTCTCTGCCTCAAGTCTCTCACCCAGTATGTACCTATACACGCCAATGCACCAACAAGGAACCAAGAAAAGAGTGGAGGCTGGGCTCCACAGGATTAAGAATGAGTGTGCATATAGCATCCCTCCCATTCCAGTACAGCTGGCAGATTCAGAGAACAAACTCAAATAAAGGAACCATGAGGTCCTGAAGTATCCAAGGGATACTTTTCAAGCCCATCTTGGATTAGAAGAGTCTGAGAGCAAAGCCACCACCCTGAGCAGTGAGTGGTGTCATCTCTCAGCGAGCATGTGCCAACAGCCATAGGCATGTTCAACCCTTGACTCAGCATCCCTATGCCAGAACATTCAGCGTGAGAACCACTGCAAAAGGAAAAGAGGCGCCCCCCCCCCACCAACCACTGCCGGCAAGACTCACCTTCATGCTCAGTGCCAGGATTGGCCCTGGAGATGTGTGACAAGTCTGGCAGCAAGGACTGCAGCCTTCCCTGAATGTTACGGCATGGGCAGAGGGAAGAATGGATTTCTATTTTCTCATGGTTGTGTTGCTTATTTTTAAATTAAAAGAAAAGTGACAGGCTTTCTAAGAAGGGAGAAGTTATGGGGGGTTGAGGACTCAGAAACTCTGGCACCCTGACCCTCTCAGACTATGCACTGGGCGACCAAGAGACTCCATGAGAGTTAGAGAGAGGTCCTCAAAGCCAGTACAGAGTGGTGGAGACCAGAAGGGGCACTTGGAGTTGATTCTCTCAGGCAGAGGGGTGCCTAAGCATGGTGAGCTACAGGCAGGAGCCACACTGATCTACCACCAGCCTGCAGGGCAGCTTCTAGCCTTCTGATACTTGTGTATGAATGGAAGACTGTGACATGGGTTGTGAGGAAATAAGGGGTGTGGAGTAAGAAGTCAGGGGGCACCAAGGCAATTGGCAAGGAGCTGGCTGACGTGAGGCCCTTGAGACCCCACCTCTTCTTTACCCCAGGGTCTGAGGAAGACCTCACACTCCGTGCTGCACTCTATAGCCTGCTCTTCCACATCCATGCCGACAATAATGACTGGGAGATGGGCCTTAAGGTGCTGGATGAGGCCGTGCAAGTGCTGCCAAGGACAGCCCACCGCCTGTGAGTGCCCTCTTAACCTCCCGGGATGCTCTCTGCGCTGCCTCATCTGGGCTTCCCCGCCACCCCTTTCCACTGAAGGACTTCACCTCCCCAATAAGAACCAGATATATAGCCCAAAGCCCCAGCAAGGTCCCTATCTGGTCCCATCCCTGCCGACAGGAATGCAGACAGTGGTAGTTCCGTCTGCCATGTGTAAGCTTAGTGCCTCACCGTCCCGGTGTTGACCCATCCTTTCTTATTCTCCAGCTTGATTTTCAAACACATGGTTATGGTGAAGGCCAAACTTGGCCAGAACTTTACCATGGAAATTCAGAAGTTCAAGGATGAGAGCGAAGACTACTTGGCAAGCATGTGGTACCGTATGGCTCAGAACTCAAATAACATCAATGGAGAGTTCACCTGCTATCAAAATGCCATCCAGGCACTGCAGGTCTGTGCAGCGTCCATGCTGGTGATGGTGGGTGGATCTATCTCTCGGTTATGGAGATAATCATATGGAAAGCTTAAGAAGTGGGGTCTTGCTGGGTCAGCTCAGAGGAAGCCATTATGTAGTAAGCCCTGGTTGAGGCTGGAGACTCTCTCCTGCTGATTCATCCTTTAGTCACCATCTTGGAAAGAAGAGTGTGGGGAGAGCCCCAAGGTAAATGTCTGGGCTCTCTAAGAGCCTGGGGATGCTGAGCAAGCAGGGCCAGGGCAGGCAGGTCTTGTTGTCCACACTACCAAAAGTCCAACCCAGACACTCAAGTGGTACACTTGAATGGGAGGGGCTCTGGTTTCAGACTTGATGACAGTGGTTCTCATAAGCAAGGACCACAAGGGGATACCTGAGGTCATGACTGTGGGACCAGTGGTGTCCTGGGCCTCTGAACTGAGAGGTCTGAAGTATGAGGAGACATCTCAGAAGGCTAGACTATTTCACAGACCCTAAGCATATCCCTGCTGTGAGGTCATAGCTGCTGCAAGGACCAGGGCAGCTCCCAGCAAGGGAGCAAGGCCCATCTCAGGGCACAGGCTGTGGCTTCAGGGACCTAACACTAGTGCAGGTGGCTACAGAGCCCCTCATTTTGCTCTTGTAGACCAAGTAACTGGTCGTTCGTAAGTTTTCTTGCTTGGGTTTTAGGGTCAGGCAATAAGTAGACATCTCACTGAGGAAGCTGGATGGGCAGCCCCCTGAGAAGGGGAAGCCACCAGGTTGTGCTAGAGGAAGAGCAGAGAACTTCAACACATTCAGCTAGACATAGAAATTATGTCTTTCTTGAATGACCTCAAGGCTTGTCCTTGATTTTGGTCATTTACTAATTACTTACATGTGCTCATGTATATGAGATGTATGTGGCGTGTAAATATGTGTGTGTGTTCTTGTGTACGATATGAACATGCACATGCTTCGGCATGCCTGTGGAGATCAGCGGAGCCTCATGTGCTAGTCCTCACCATGTGCCTTGCTTGATTCTGGGCATTCTCCTGTCTTGGCCGCCCATCTTGCTGTAGGCATGCTGATGCACACTATCGCATCCAGGTTTTATGTGGGTTCTGGGGTCTCAAACTCTGATCTTCACATCTGCACAATAATCAGTTTATTCACTGAGCCATCTACCCAGCTCCTTGAATTAACTCTTCCCTCCTTCCTTCCTTCCTTCCTTCCTTCCTTCCTTCCTTCCTTCCTTCCTTCCTTCCTTCCTTCCTTTCTTTCTTTGGCATAATGCAATGTCATCAGAACAATCTGTTTTAAGAATATTCCATCATCCTGCCCAACTAACTCTGTTAGCACTCACTCTTCTCCCCAAGCCTTCCTGGGTCAGGGATCACTGACCCAGTGTGCTGTGCTGACCTTTCATAGAATGGAATTATGATTCTAAGAGGCTGTCACATCTAGCCTCTTTCACTAAACATGATCTGTTGCAGTCACATTGCATTATGTGGCTGTCTTGAATTCTTTCTTGTAACTAAGCAACACTCCATTGGCACACATACACCTAGCTTTTTAGTTGTTTGTTGGGCTCTTATGTTGTTTCTCATATCATTTGGCTCCTGTGAGTGGGTGTTTGTGAACTTGTGTGCACAGTTTTTTATGGACCTATGATAAAAAAAAACCTGTGGTTCCCTTGAGAATGTACCTAGGAGCTGAATTGATGGGTCACACAGTGGCTCTGTGTTTAGCTAAAGAAGAGCCACCAGGTTGTGACCTCTTGGACTACATTTTTTCTTAGTATTGCTTACAGCACAAAGTTTTTAATTATGAGGAGGTCAATTTCTATTTCATCTTTTGTCACTTATGTTTATGATATTATATCAGAGGGACCATTTTGAGGCAAACTCAGGACGATACATCCTTTGTTCTCTCCTGAGGATTGTGACTGCAGACCTTCTATCCAGGCGGCCTGTCCATTTTGAGTTAGTTTGTGTATAGAAGGCAGATCCGGCCTCATTCTTTAGATGGAGACTCTCCTCTAAGCCTTGTACCTTTTGATGAGATGATTTTCCTTTCCCTTCTTAGCTCCTCTTGAGGTATACACATTTCTTCATGCTTGCACAGCTTTTATCTAAGTTACGGTGTCCATGGCTCTTTGTGGACTCTCTCTTATCTCCATGGGATGCCTCCTCCCTTCTCCACTGGGATTCAGTTTCTACTGGGCTACCTTAGGCCCTGCACCCTACCTGGGTTCAAGCCCTAACAGGGATGCCACCCCCATCTCCTGTGACACTTTCTTCTCCCAGAGGCTTTTCTTCTCCTCCATCATGAGGCCTGTTCCTGCTGCCAACAACATCCTTGTCTAGATTGGTATGTCCTGCCTGACCTGCAGCAGTTGTTTGTGTTTGTTTGTTTGTTTGTTTGTTTGTTTTTCCTTTGAGCCCCATGCAAGGCTGAGCATGGAGTAGCCTCATACAGATGCTCATTTCCCAGTTAATGAGAGGGTACAGGCAAGCACTCGGAAAAGCCACAGAGTCAGGAACAGAGGTGAGAGGACCGTGACTCCAGGTCCTGAAAAGTGTGGGGGTGATGCCTTGAAAATGGGCCAAGGACGAGGCCTGGAAAGGAAGGAAGTGTGCAGCAGGTCAGCATACTAAAGCTTTGGGCTTGCCCGAGCCTTTCATTTTCAAGGCTGGCCCGCATTTTTCAATGATCACAGGCCAAGTGTGTGCCATGCCACATCTTTGGCTGTAGTTTCTCTGACACCTCCTCCCGCAGGCCCACACTGAGCCATGGAAGCTGTTGCTAGTTTAGACAAAAGTTGTGCATGCCTGGAGAGGGAGGTAGAGGCCCTCAGTAGAGGGATTAACCCCAGAACCACCCCTTCAAGGCTTCAGATTGGCCAGACTGCTTTGCTAGCAGCCCTGCTCAGGATTCCCTTTTGTAATGGAGTCTTGAGTGGTTGTCAGTAAATACAAGGGCCAGTGGGACAGGTAGGATGCACTTGCAAAAGGTTCAGAAGACCAGAGAGGACTTTACCAAACTCTTGTTTTCCTATCACACTTCTGTCTACAGCTGGGAGCCCGTCAGGGAGTCTTGGTGGCAACATGAATCATCAAGTCTTTTGCTGCCATCGGTGGATTCCCCTTGCCAATCCAGGGCACACTGACCTGATTAGTGTCATACCTTAATGGTGCTTTTCTGTCTCGTCCCAAAGAAACCAGAGAACAACTGGCAGAAGGTAGACTACATCGTGGAGTTCAGTGAGTGGCTGTATTATAAGCACTACCCCCTGGAAGACGTGGTCATCCACCTCGATTGGGCAATCGGCATTCTGCTCTCCATGAAGCCCACAGAAGACTCCCCTGAGCCAGATACCAAGAAGGAAGGTGAGGGCGACCATGCCAGTTTCTCCTGACATGCTCTACTGTAGGCCCTATAGAGGCCCAAGACAGTAGGACATAGTGGGACTGTTGCTGGGCCACAATGTCCTCCGATGCAGATGTGCATTCAATCTTGGCTTTCAGCAGTTAAGCGCTGGGGAAGGGAGAGGGTGGAAAATGCCAGTACTTGTGTGCATACTTGATAGCTACAATCCTGCCCCCTCAGCATTTAACCCATACAACTGATCATAGCACGATAACCCAGCTAGGAAGAAAACAGAGCAGGTCAGCCTATAGCCTATCTGGTATAGAGGTTTCAGGACGCCAGCGGGGCACCCCCGTGAATACAAAGCCCAAGGCCAGCAGCCATTTGCATCCCAGAAAAATGGCTTTCCTTGACTCCCAGACTCTGAGAGAGAAGTCTGGGACACAGGAAGGTTGCCAGGAAGGTAGTCCTGTTGGAGAAACTCCAGGCTCGGGTAGGCAGAAGCACACCACTTAGGTATCTGTTGGACAGGTGGCTGGGGAGTGTTATAACAGGCCAGGAGGGGGAAAATTCCTGGGGTTGCAGGAGCCTTAATCCTGCTCATGGCCACAGACTCACTCCCACCATGCCATGCAGGACAGGCCTCCCCTGACCAGTCTCTAACAGGGAATAGAATGTTCTCAAATCTGGAGACAGTCTCCTTGGACCAGTTTCGAAGTGTGAGGCAGTTAGAGGCCCTGGCCCGTGTGCACATACTGCGGGCCTTGATGTCGTCCCCAAGCTGCTCTTCCTATGAAGATGACTGCTTCATGGCCTACAGCTTCCTCAGGCAGATCTGGCAGGTGAGAGAAGGCTGAAGATACAGTGCTAAACCAACCCCATCCTCCAACCCCTGGGAGCAGACTCTAAAGGGATTGTTGCTGCTGTCTCCATTGGGAAATTATAATAGCATTTTTATTTGCAAAGAAGTCAGAGCCTTCCCAGGTGCTCTGTAAAGGCCTTTGAGAAGCATGTAGACATCTCTCTCTGCACTATTCACCTTTTTCTCTGTGCTGAAAGACCCGTCAACATCTCTCTAGGCCCTGCCACACTCGTGTTATCGAGGATCTTTGAAGAGGGTGCTTCCCAAACCCACCTTATCTCTGCTGTCTCTCCACCACAAAAACCTGTAGGTCTGTATCACTGACCAGGCCATTTGCTCTGTGCAGTGGAGGCTCCCAGGTTTGACCTTGTCTGAGCAGCACTCCCAGATCTAAGAGTTATCTCCAACTAAGTACAGAAAGGTGGGACCCAGACTATTTTTAATGCTCCCAATTGGTATTTTCTTTCCTCCCCCTGCCCCCAACCCCAGATTTCCTTGACAGAAGGAGGAAAACTAATTCCAGAAAAAACTTTACAATCAGTTAGTTCACAATTGTTATTGCCAAAAAAGGAGAAGGAAAAGGGGAAAGAGAAGGAGAAGGAGAAGGAAAAGGTGAAAGAGAAGGAGAAAGAAAAGGCAAAAGAGAAGGAAAAGGTGAAAGAGAAGGAGAAGGAAAAGGCAAAAGAGAAGGAGAAGGAAAAGGAGAAGGAGAAAGTCAAAGACACGAAACCGGTGAGTGACCTACATGGTGTGTCTCTCGCCTGAGACAGGAGGTAGAGCCTGAACCCCAACCCCAGCACATTCACACTGTGGGTCTTATGATCTCCCCATGTGTCCCTACCACTGGGCCACAGCCTCCAAACTGTGCTAGAGGTTGGCAGCCTGTCCTCTCCACCTCCATGCTGGGCCACAGAGGCATCCGTCTCAGGACTCCACGTTTTATAGTAAACCTTGCTTTCTCTCATTCACAGATTTCAACCCCAGCTTCCATCAAGGCACCTGATGATGTCCCCACCAGCATAGAAGAATGGGCCTCCTACTCCTGCCCTGAGGATCTGCTCTCTGTGTTCAAGACATACAGAAGTGACTTAACCATCAACTCCACAAGTTTCCAGAAGCCGGTGAGTGGATCTTCCACCACAGGGCCAGTAAGCCCAACCTCCTTCCCTTAAAATTACAGCTGGCATTTCGATTGCACATGTTGCCAAAGAGGGACCCATGAGACAGGAGTTTCACAGTGAGTGTCAAACCAGAGCAGCTTTCCACCTTCAGTACCCATAGCCACAAAGCGCCCTCTCATCCTCACCTCTTTGCTCCAAACAGCTGCCAACATCTACAAGAATCCCCCCTCCCACTGCATCCATACCCAAGTACCCATGCTTAGGCTTGGGACTGCTTCTGTCAGCTGTCATAGCCATGATGAACAAGTCTCCAAAAACCAGACAGCCATGACCACAAGAATCACAGGATCAGCAGGCCCCTGTATGCCTCACCCCACCCCAACTCTACCACCAAGGCCACACAGTCTCTAGCAAATCCAGTTCTTGTAGAGCCCTCCAAGATTATACGCTCAGGCCTATATCTTACGCAGCGCCTCACCCTGGTCACAAAGCATAGTCACTCTTGACATGGAGAAGTTCCATGTATTAGGACCCCATGGTTCTGCCTACCTTCTTCTGTCTGGTTGGGGTTTCTTAGGAGTGGAATTGTTTGGCATATTCCTCCTGGCCAATAGGTTGGTGGGGTTCACCCATGCTGTTTGGGGATAGCTATTTTAGACCCTTTCAAAGCTACAGTATCTGCTGCAGTGAACAGGCCTTGGTGTACATAGCAAACCCCTAAGATGGCCAGACAATGGTATCTTTATTGTAAAAATTCAACTGATCCTTAGAGAATAGCTTGTTTTAAGGAGGTGCACACTGAGGTATTTAAAGATCAAGGGATACTGGACTTCCTGACAAGAGTCAGGAAGTGTTTGCAGTTCTTACAAATGAAGTATCCGTGAACCCTGGTGCCCATGCTTCCAGACCACGGTGTAGGGAACTTCGCCGTGATGATGAATATTGCCAGTTGGCAAATTGCGTGCCAGGGATACTGTCGTGAGCTCCATCCCCGCCCCTGGTGGGAGAGCTCCTGTTGCCCACATCTTGCCAGCCAGCACTAGCATGCAAGTGATGGCATCTCCGATGACTACAGCGAAGTACTGGATGCCCGGTCAGCATGTCCTAGGCCCTTCCTTTTTCTGAGGTATCTGTCCAGCACACTACCATAATTTAGCAAATTTCCTGTTTTTCTTATGGAGTTGAAGAAAAGCACAGGCCTGTTCTGAGAGAGATGCTCCTCTAAACAGCCCTATAAACAGCTGGTTAATTCGAGAGTTGCCTTCCCTTCTGTGTAGAAATGTTAACTTTAGTGTTAGGGAAATTAGGAACCTTTTCCTCTGTGACTGGTGCTTCCTTGTGTCCTTTTAAAAAACAACAACAACAAAAAAAAAAAAAAAACAACATTGTTTCCTTTTCTGAGGTCATAGATTGTATCCTACAAATATTCTCCACCTGCATAGCCTAGTGTCAGATTTGGATTTAGTCTAATGCACGTGATCTGTATGTGCAGGGGTCAAGAGCCTCCCGGCCTTGCCACTAATCCTGGGCAGTGTGCCCACAGGCCAGGCCATCATCTTCCCCCAGATCTCCCAGATCTCAGCCCTATGCTTTTCTCTACCCTGTTCACTATTTAGTTACCAGAAACTCGTGTTTAATACAGCTCATCTAATGTCTCCAACATGCCATATACCAGGCCCAGCACCACAGGAGGCATTAGCCCTTTTTCTCCAGACACCCAGTTGTACATGTACACAAAGAAATTCTGCATCTGGCAGATCATCGGTTTTAATTAGAAACAAATTAAGTAGAACACAAAAAATCAATGAATTAATGGATGTGTCCCTGGTGATGATCTTTAACGACACCCTGGTGTTGACAACCACAGCATTGCATATGTAAAGCTAGACCTGTAATGGTGGATAGGGAAGAGAGTATCCCACAAAGACCTGCTGAGTGCTGGGCGCTGTGCCTGGAAAAGCTAGGTGTATTAGTTAGCTTTTCTTGCTGCTGTGACCAAAACACCCGACAAAAGCAACTTCAAGGAGAAAGCATTTATTTTGGCTCACAGTTTGAGGGGGCAGGCTATCCCGGTGGGGAAGTCATGGCAACAGAAACTTTGGGCGGCTCTTCACAATCTATCAACCTTGAGGAAGCAAAGAGCAACGAATATGGTCATGTCCAGCTAGCCTTCTCCTCATTATTCAGACCAAGACCCTAGTGCACACTTAGTGTGGATCTCCTCACCTCGTCTAACCATGTCAAGATAAGGTTACAAAAGACACTCAGAGTCTCTGAGCTAATCTGGATCATCTCTCGTAGGCATACCCAGACACTTGTCCCCAAGGTGATTCAAGATCATGTCAAGTTGACAGTCAACATTAACCTTCACTTTAGGGGACTAGTGCACTACCTCTGCCTGTGACCACACCTGTTTTCCACGTGTTCACACAGATGTACAGTTTGTACTACATAGACCACTTGGCCAAAGCCCTGCAGAAGATGTCCCTTCATGAGCTCAGCATCCCGGTCCTGCAGCTGGGTGTGCTCATTGCAGATGCTGTGGTGGAGAGCAAGAGCCTGGCAGACCTCTACCACCTGCGGTTGGTACACCTCCTTTACCTGCAGCGGTGAACGTGGCAATTTGGCCAAACCGATACAAAAACAAACAGCACCTTAGACATTAATTCTGTAGCTGTGTACATAGTAAACCCCTAAGACTGCCAGACAATGGAATGGTATCGTCATTGTAAAAATTCAACTGATCCTTTGAGAATAGCTTGTTTTAAGGAGGAGCACACTGAGGTGTTTAAAGATCAAGGGATACTGGACTTCCTGACAAGAGTCTAGGAGAAGGGAAAAGGGAAGAGAGAGTGATAGAGAACATGGTGACAGGGCTTACTCTGGAGAGGAGGAATACACAGATAATGCTTGAGTGTGTTCGCCTGACTATGTCCAAATGAAGTGCTTTAAACAAAAGCTCAGTTTAAGTTTCTTGCTGGAAGCTATGGCATGGTCTGGCAGGGGTGTGCAGGATTTGGACAAATGACTGTTACCTCTAAACGTGCTCCCAAATGTACACACAGTGAGTAAAACATGTGAGTGAATAGTATTGAAAATTGCCATCTGAAGTGTCGTAGACCCACCTAGCAGGGTTAGCTTTATAAATTACTGAAACCCCGAAGGGCACGCTTCTAGTTTAGCAGCTCTGATAATGTGCACCGTATCCAGCACCACTTCCTTTGGCAGCGACAGCATCCTCTGAGACAGTGCCTCCTTCCTCCCCTCTTTTCCCCTCAGACTTGCACAAGTGTGTTCTGACCTGAGGCTGCACTACGCAGCAGCTCATCATGAAGAGGCGGTTGGACAGGCATACTTTGGAGACATGGAGCAGGCCAGGTATGTTCAGAGACCAAAGAATACATAAGAATGCATACATAGTCCTATTATTGTTAATTTCCGGAACTTGGCTTCCCTCCCGCCTTGATAAATAATTATATATTCATTGTGCAAATTTTAGAAAACAGGTACAGAAAAGAATAGACATCACTGTAGTCCCCATCCCTTGGCAATAATCCCTTCTGGGGCTTTGCCGTTGCACACCTGGTCAGTTATGAAAATGTAATTGTGGGGCATACACTTTTTCACTCTGCAGCCTTTGGCAGCAAATACCTGTCCACAGAACCATCTTCAGGCTGTTAGCATTCTCACTTATCTGTATCTCCCTGGGCTGACTGTGAGCGTGTTTGCCGAGTCCCTTCTGCCCTCAGATGGGTTTCAGAAATGCATTTGCCAAGACGGAAAGAGGCTTCTGCCTCTTCCTATTCTTGGGTTTACTCGGAGATCTTGTTATGTGGCATGGCACTGCAGGTGGGGAGCACTGCAGGTGGGGAACACTGCGGATGGGCTGCAGAGGAAGGAGGATGACTCAGACTGACAGGAAGGGTTTTTGCCACTGGTGATACCAGGGCTGAAATACAGAGAGGCCTCATTTCCAAGTGCACATAGTCAAAGAGTCCTGGGCAGTTGGGGTAATCAAGTTTGGGGATCTGTGAAGAGACAGCATTGGGGTAGAAAATGTTGGATGTCCTGATGAGCAGAAGCTTTGTGTGCCTGAGAATTTGGCCAGGCTAGGCTGAATGCGGTGATATACCCACCAACCTCTTTGGCTGCGGTATGGTGGTTGACTCTGGCCAACCTCTGGTAGGAGGTGAGGTAGAAGGAGCACCCATGGGTGGAGGCACCACCCCGCTTCTATGGGAAACCCTGAATGTCAAGCAGTTTTACCTTTCTGGAGGGCTTACCGGAGGCAGTTCTGTCCTAAATACATTAGGTTGGAGGAGCTCTTTCAACTACACATCAGCTTGCCAGACAGTTCCAGAGAAAACAGGCTGCAAGTGTGATCCTGGGAACCAGACTTGCTGCCCAACCGGAGGCTTTTGGTTTTTGTAGGCATGTGTGAATCATGGCTTTCCTGGCTGGGTTAACTTGTGTTTCTTTGACTTTAATGAAACTTTAATTTCATTAAAATTCATTAAATTTCATTTAATGAAATTTAATGAAATTGCTGCCAGCCATTGCGGTTCTTCTGTTACACAGTGCTATTTTGCTTCAACTAGATGCAGAAAAGAGATTGCATTTAAAAAAGAGAAGAGCAAGGAGCGAGTGATAACAAAAAGCGTACCAGTCCCGCAGGAGCAGCTGGATACATCCCGCTCAGAAGAAGTGAAGCCACTGACAGCACAAGACAAGGTAGACTGGCACTGCCACAGTAGGATCCATAGCCCAGAGGCGGCACTCACTTAGCCCGGCTCTGCCACAAGCAGGATCTGAAACCCAGAGATGACGATGGTTCGGTGTAGCATAGGATTGCCCCAGGAGTCAAAAAACCACAGTTAATTTGTGAAGAGCTTGCTGTATACACTCTTAGGCATGGTTTCATGGGAAACTCAGAGATCTAATCAAGTATGCCCCACCCTGACACCCTGGATTGCCTCAGGGAAGGCAAAAATTATATGTAAAACAGGTCACTTGGGGCCTGAGCAGCCGCATACTCGGTGAACGCTCGCCTAAAATGCTGAAGGGCCCTGGGCTTGGGCAAAGGGGAGTGAAAAGAGAGAGGCTTCCTGTGGCGCAGAGTGCATCTAAGGGGGGGTCTGTAGACTCTTGAAGCCCCTGCTGTCTCATCACTAACTGGCCGTCCCCTTGAGTCCATGCACAGAAGAGCTAGTAGCCCTCCTGGAGAGCCTTGGTTCCTCAGAGGACCAGCTGTTTGTGAACACTTTAAAGCTAGCAATTGGGGTATGGTGGAATGTGCCCAACATGGGGTTTGTTATGGGACAGGGGCTCAGAACAGTCAAGGGTCAATGCTGCAGTTTGATCACAGTGGGGGTGGGGGATGTTGCAGGCTCCCAACTGCTTCCCAGCTCCATTCACAGAAGGAAAGCCACACCTACCAAGCCAGGCAGCTCAGCAGCTGTTAGCATCAGCATCAGAAGAGTAGGAAGGATAAACAGGGAGAGACAAGGCTCCCAAAGGCCTGGGGTGTGTCAGAGGCCAAACAAGCAGAGGCCAAAGGCTTGAGGTTCTGAGTAGGGCATGCTGGGCATGTCCCTGTGGCAGTGCATCCTGTGGCTCACTGCTCACACAGGATGTTCCTGCTTCTAGGCCAGAGCACGTCACAGAACACAGACCGGGGACAGAGCATCTTAGGGTCGTGGTGTCTTACAGGTTTTGAAGACAAATGCAGAGACTGGCAAAGGCCTGCACGAGACATCTTATCCCCAGCTGTGGATGCTCAAAGGGGAGGTCCTGCTGGAGTTGGAGCTGCACCAACCGGCACGACTGCTCTTGTCAGAGGCCCAACAGAGTTTCCAGGTAAGGCTCTTCACCCATCTCCACTGAAGCCATCTTGACCTGGGCCTGAACTCTTCAGATGTGTTCTTAGTTCTCATCTGAGAACATCGAGGGCTTCTGTGACTTCTCAGAATCTCCACTGAGTTCCCAAAGGCTAGTGTTAGCATTCCCCCATAGAGCACTGCTCAGAGCCCAGCTCTCAATAGGCTTGGGAGCATTGGCTGCTCTTCTCTAAGGTGCTAGCTGCCTATTAGAGGAACAGCACCCAGACCTGGGGTCCCAGTGCCCAGTCATTCACTAGATTGACCTTTTGGGTCTCAACTATCAAAGTTCCAAACTACACTTGGTAGGTCTTTTCTATCCTGGACTCTGTCCCCAATGGACAAAGAGCTTTGGACAGTCTGGATAGAAGAAGCTGTTTGTGTTGTCTGCTCTAATGATGCCATTCTCCCAAGTTACAATCTCCATAGTTCCACCAAACTCCTGCAGACAGACTTAAAATTGCCTTCAATGGACAGATGAGGCTAAGACCCTGACACAAACAGCCTGTGGCTAGTTCTGAAGAATTCGAGGAAAAGATGAAGATTCAGTGATGGTGGAAAAATTCAGTGACACCAGAAAGCTGTGAGCACAGGCTCTGGCCCACCCAGTGAGAGCAGGAGTACAGGTACTACAGACAGGACAGGTATGTAAGTAGCAGGGTTCAGACAGATGTGCAGGTGCTGGGGTAGAGCTGTGTAGATGTCAGAGATGAGATGAATGTGCAGATGGCAGAAATGGGACAGATGTGCAGGCACAGGAAAGGGGACAAGTGTGAAGAGATGTGCAGGGTATCAAATAAGTGACAGGGAGGGAGATATCAGAGAAGGAAAATATGTAGAGGAATAGGGAGGGAACAAGCATTCAAGTATAGAGAGCAATGAGATGTTTAGGTATCAGAGAGGAACATATCCTAGCTAGGGTTTCTACTGATGTTAGGAAATAGCATGGCCAAAAAGCAAGTTGGGGAGGAAAAGTTTTATTTTACTTACATGTCCACATTGCTGTTCATCATCAAAGGAAATCAGGATAGGAACCTAGAGGCGGGAGCTGACGCAGAGGTCATGACAGGCACTGCTTATTGTCTTGTTCCACATGGCTTGCTCAGACTGCTTTTTTGTATATCCCAGCACCACCATCCTAGGGATGACACCACCCACAGTGGGCTGGGCCCATCCTGCTTTGGTCGCCAATTAAGAAAATGCCTTACAGCCAGATCTTAGGAGGCATTTTCTCAGTTGAGGTTCCCTCCCTTCAAATAATTCTAGTTTGTGTGTCAAGTTGACATAAAACTAGCTGGCATGACGAAAGGAGACCAACAAAGCCAAAAAATCTGAGCCCAGGGGTCCTTCCTACAGGGACTTAGGCATTAACCAAGGACCACGCATGAAGATGGCCTAGGCCCCCTGCTCAGATGTAGCCCATAGGCAGCTCACTCTCCATGTGGGTTCCCTAGTAAGGGGAACAGGGGCTGTCTCTGACATGAACTTGGTTACCTGCTCTTTGATCACTTCCCCCTGGCAATAGGGCCTTGTCAGGCCACAGAGGAAGAGGATCCAGGCAGGCCTGATGAGACTTGATAAGCTAGGGTCAGATGGCAGATGAGGAGGACCTCCCTCTCTCAGTGGACTGGGGAAACGGGCTAGGGAGGGAAAAGGGGGGAGGTTGGTACTGGGAGGAGGTGAGGGAGAGGGCTGCAAATGAGATATAAAATGAATAAATTGTACAAAATAAAAGTTTTAGAAATAAGAAAAAAAAAGTTTAAAAAAATAAGCCAGCTAGCACAGGGAAGGTGTACAACCCTCAGATGGGACGGGTGTTCACGTACCAGCGAGGGGCAGGTTATGTACACTAGGGTTGAGATAACCTGTCCCAGAAGGGGCTGAGCTGATGACTGTGAGCCTGTGAGCTGACGGGCAGGCGGCACTCTGGGCATTTGACACTCTGAAATCCACTACAGTGGCCCTGGAAGTCTGCATCTATACCTGGCTTCCTCCTCCTCCCCTTCACCTCCCCTGTAACTCACTGTAGCCAGGCAGAGACGACAGGGCTAACGTAGGGGCAGGGTAGATGTGAATGTGCACCTTTGCTTCTTCTGTCACTCTCCTCCCTCGAGGCATGCTCAGATTCCTTCCACCCACCTTCCTGACCCATCACCTGAGGACCACCTCTCTTGTGGCCATGTCCATCATCCTGATCACCTGGGTTTGCCTGTCATCTGAGGATGACTCTTCCAGGGACTTTCCCTTCTTACTTTCAACTTTTAGTACCAGGATCCCATGCAACCTTACTCCTGCTCCCTAACTCCTCTCCCACCATCTTCTTCCTCTGGGCTAACAGTCCTACTTGGGTTCCACACTGCCCTTTTCTGTGTAAAGGGCTCTGCTCTGTACCCAGCCCCACTGCAACTGCAGGATATGTATCCTCGGAACCTAGCTTTGGTTGATACCAATGTTAGCTGTATGCTAGCCCTGATTTCTGGGCCCACTTAGGCCCTGCCCCTCCCACCTTGGAGCTCAGCACCCTCCAGGCAGGATCTGGTCCAGAAGCCTGGAGGCACTTTTGTGTAGAAGAAAAGTTCACTTCTGCCCCCCCAAAACAGCCAGGTTATACTGTGGATCTGGAGTCTAATACAGGGAAGTTGAGGTTGTTCAGGGCAACGGAATCCAGGTGGGACACATGTTGGGTAGGATTGCGCACACACCTGATCTCGTTTCTCCCACTGGCCAATACTACTTGAACATGTGGGAAGATCACGTGAGCCACCGTGACAGGGATGTTCACAATGTTCCCAGAACTTGCCTATGTCTGCTCGACATCACAGGGCAGTGCTAGCATCCTGTGTCTCAGCAAGGTTTTCAAGAGTCGTCTGTCTACCTCTGTCTGAACATACACATGGGCTGCACATTTTCCCAGAAAGCAATGTCCTGTACTTTCTTACTGTGAGGACCGTAGTGTCCAGTGCTCCTCCCTCCCTCTGTGTTCAATATAAATTGCATTATTTGCCCTGGCATTTGTTAGACAGATGCCCAGGATGAGTGAGGATGGATGCTGTGAGCTGCTGGGAACCCTTCTGGGCACCAAGTAATATCTACACGTGGACTTGCCCTTCAGCCTTGAGCTCAGGAAGTCCTCTGCAAAGAGAGAGATCAGTTCCAGCAAGAACCTTGGATGACTATGGAGCTGGCTTTGTACTTCCCAGATAGATCACCAAATACCCTCTTCCAGAGACACCCTCTAGCCCACATTTAGGCCTTAATTACCTCAGGTCCAGTTAGAACCACCACTGGTCATCTACTGATAACTTGACCCAGCTAAGTGATACCCATGCGTGGTATCTTAGTTAGGTTTGCTATTGCTGTGATGAAACACTGTGACCAAAACAACTTGAGGAGGAAAGGGTTTATTTGACTTACACTTGCATATCTCTGTTCGTCATCAAAGGAACTTAAATAGGCCAGGAACCTGGAAGCAGAAGCTGATGCAGAGACCATGAAAGGGTACTTCATACTGGCTTGCTCCTCATGGCTTGCTCAGCCTACTTTCTCATAGAACCCAGGACCACCACCCACAATCCTAATTAAGAGGGCTGGGCCCTCGCCCATCAATCACTAATTAAGAGAATGTCCTACAGCCTTGTATACAGCTCGATCTTATGGAGGCGTTTTCGTAATTGAGGCTCCCTCCTCTCAAATGATAATAGCTTGTGCCAACTTGACATAAAACTATCCAGGATACATGGTAAAGCTGATTCTAACAGCAGCCTCCACAAGGGAAGGGCCCATTAACCTCATACAGCAGGGTAGAAAAGAGCTGCCACTGTGACTGTAATCCTGCACAGGTGGGCTACTGTGGCTCCCCAGGGCACACTTTCTACTCCTAAGGACTCCAACCCCACGGGGAGTAGCCAAGCCAACCTGAGTGGAGCTGCCCACATATCCATCACTTATCATCTCTCCCTGTCTTTAGGAGCTAGGCGAAAAATGCGAAGAAGCACAGTGCCTCCTGCTTCTAGCACAGCTGGCCAACAAGGAAAAGAACCATGGGCAAGCTATGCTCTTGATCGAAAGGGCCCAGCAGCTAGGCGGAACTGAGGAGTTCTGGTACAATTCAACCCTGACTCTGGCTGAGGCAGTCTTATCCTCTGACGAAAGGAAAAAAGAAATCACAGTGAGTTGGACTGGCCAGTAGACAGCATGGGGTGCAATGGGGAGAGGGGTGTGCTGAGGTCTTGTCCCCAGGCCCTGGTGAGTGAAATGGTGACACATACTCATCACATCCAGATCTGCAAGGTGTTTCAGAAACTCATAGATACTTTCAGGACCCTCCAGAAGGAAAGGCCAAACCGAGTAGCCCTACTGGAAAGCCTCATCATGGATCTGGAGACCAGGTAATGAGACCAGGTACACCAAAGCTGTGGCTGCTTCTACGACACATACACTCTCATGCCATGCCAGAAAGGCTCTCTCTCGTATCAAACCCAGGAAGGCTCGAATCCAGCAGGACCATGACTTCCTTCCCTGCTCTGTGTGTCCCACACATCCTCAGGCTCTTCCGAAGATCAGATCTCCCTTCCACTGTGTTCCTCAGAGCCGTGGGCTTCCTTCCAGCCAGCCCGTGTTTCTACAGTGTCTTTCCTATGGCTCCTGGAGCCTCATGGAAGGCTGTCAGGGAACCCCTCGTTTTCCACACACGTCACTCACAGGTCCTTTCCAAGGAATGCTCTGAGCCCAGTGAGCACAGATGCAGGGATCCTTGCTTTGTTTCTGCTTCTGTTTCTTCTCTGGAAAGTGCTGCAAACATGGCATCCCACCAGCTGGTCCTGAAATGAGTCTGTAAGCAGTCTCATTTCAACATGGTTTTCCATGATCGAGTCTGGTCCCTGGGTGGGACTGTTAGATTCTAACTTCATGGCATCCATCTTGGGGAAAGGGGGGCTCAATTGGTATTTGTTTCAGTGTCTCTGGGTGGATAATGGTCAGGAGAGTCACAGTGGTCTTGGGCTTTTGAATCTGGTGGGGAAAACTTCAGCCCCCACAATCCTGAGATGACACCTGTCCAGCAGGTGTCTGAAACTTCAAATCCTGGTTGCCACCGAGCTGATTACAGTAGAAGATGTCAAGTGTCCATTTGTGCTCTCAGATATAGAACAGCGCCTGATAGAAATTCAAGAAAAATGTGAAATCCGTGGCTACCAGAAAAACTGTGTTGACTTAAAATTAGAGCATGCAAAGATAAAGAGGTAAGGGTATCACCACACACTCCACCCACGCCCCTGGAGCTGCCTGGAGTTCTGCCCGCTGAGAAGGGTCCACCTTTGAGCTTCTGCGCCTCCTCAGCCTCAGACATGGCTAGACCCAGCTCCCTCCTTGCTAACCCAGCATTGCAGTCCTCAGCACAGTTGTCCCTGCTGCCACTACAGTTATGCATCCCAGTGAGCATGCAGCTCTCCTCCCACTCCAGCTCCCCGTGCTGCTCACAGCACCTTTGCCAGCTCCAGATACCCACAAGCCTTTCACACTTGAGCAAACCATGGGGGGTGACCCTGCCTTTAGGAGCTATGATCAGCCAGTGGCCAAGCCACTTCCATTAGCACAGGTGTGCTAGAGCAAACATCGTATGCCACCAGGAAGGCAGGGAAGTGGAAGCCAACAGGTGGAAATCGGGGCATCGCTCCATCAGACTCCTTTCAGGCAGAGATTCCTTACCACTGAAATCTCGAACTATACACACTGCGTCACTCTGATTGGTATCTTGTTTTAAAATGTATTTAGAGGGCTGGGGAGATGGCTCAGCTGGTAAGCCACTAGCCTTGCAAGCACAATGACTTGAGTTCAATCCCCATGCCAAGAAGCCAGGTATGGTGGTGTACATTTGTAATGCTGACACTGGGGAGACAGAGACCAGTGGATCCTTGGGGAAAGCTGGCAGAAACAAGGCAAGGATCCTTGTGTCTGTGGTCTAGCCTCCTCGCTGGATTCTAGGCCACTGAGAGGCTCTGTCTCTAAAGAGAAGTGAACAACACCTGAGGAACAGTGCCAGGGTTGATCTTTGACCTCCACACGAACATACATGTACCTGTGCACACAAATGAACAACTCTACACACACATTGAAAATAAATAAAATGTATTGAAAATGCCTTCATGTGCAAAACATTTAACTGCAAAATTTTGAAGGACTGATAAAGTGCATAGCATAATTATGTGTAAATTATGTACTACAGTTTAATCAGCATAACATACTAGTTTAATATATTAATTAGCTTTAAAAATCTTGGTTCTAGGGCTGGAGAGCTGGCTCAGAGGTTAAGAACATTCTCTGTTCTTTCAAAGGTCCTGAGTTCAATTCCCAGCAACCACATGGTGGCTCATAACCATCTATAGTAAAATCTGGTGTGCAGGCAGAATGTTGTATAAATAATAAATAAATAAATAATCTTTGTTCTAAGTTCCACTCTTATATTATATAAAGGTTGTTTGCTCAAGCGGAAAAAGATAAAGAACAAAAAACTATCTATTGTCTGCAAGTGTACAACTTGTCCCAGAAAGCTATAGCTGAGGAAGAAGAAGTATTTCACAAAATCCAGGGGATACTGTCCCTTCAAGATGTAAGTATAAGCCTGTACACTCCTGTCATTACTGTGTACAAGACAGTACTGCCTCTCGGATCGGATTTTAAAGAAAAACCAGCCAGGCACACTGTGGCACACCTTTAATCCTAGCACTTGGGAAGCTGAGGCAGGAACATGGGGAAGTTCTAGGAGATCTAAACCAGCCTGGGCTACCCAGTGAGACCCAATACTATAAAACCACACACACACACACACACACACACACACCTGATTTACTTGTGGGCTAAGGTAGAGTAACAGTAACTAGACTCGTGCACCTACAAAACAGACAACATACAGGAAACAAGGCATTTTTTTTTTTCCAAATCCCATGTATTAACCATACCAGTTAGTGATCCTCGACCTTCAGTACCAGCTAGATGAGGATGCAGAGATGGTACCAGGCGAAGCCTAGATGAAGACCTGAGTCCAGGAGATAGAGTCCTGACAGTCTAGGGAGGAGAGGGCAAAACGGAGCCTGAGGAAGAAGGGCGCTGCTCACGGGCGTCTCGAGGATACCCCAGAGTACCTACCTAAAGACCGGGCACCTGTTGGTGAAAGAAGCTGCCCACAATTAGGAAAGAACCACCTAGAAGGATTACAGGAAGTGCACGTGTGCTGACGGAGGGTCACAGGGATGGGGTCTGGGAGCTCCCATGGCTTCGAGGTGATGGGCGGGGTGCACAGAGAGGGCCTGACCTCAGAATTTGGCAGCGAGAAAGAAACTATGTGGTGCCTATAAGAAAGCCATTATGAACACAAGGATAAATAGAAGAAGAGTAAATTGCTGGAAGGGCTATCTCATAACACTTTCGATCAAGACGGCTAGAAGCAAGCAGGTTCCATAACAGACTTCACCAGGGGTGGTGATACTCATCTCACAGTGGAACCTAATGAAGAAGAAAAGTAATCTAAATGCAATAACCATAATAAGGGACTTCTAAAATATATATGAAGCAAACATTGATCTTAAAAAAAAATTGCTAAATCCATTAGAGCCAACAATTTTAGTATCCTGCTCTTTAATCATTAGTAGAACAAGTAAACATGAGATCAGCAAAGAACTAGAAGACTAAAATATTGTCAGCCAACATGACCAAATAGTTTTTTTTTTTTTTAAATTGGCTTACTCAGAAACAATGGGATAACATTCTCACAAAATGTGGACTGTCTTCTGGCACAGGCTGTATCCTGAACCATAAGGCAAGTCTCAATAAATTTGAATCATACAGAGGATATATTAGTGCCAAAATGGAATTCAAATGGGCATCAAAACCATTGAGTAGGAAACTCCATAGACATGTAAAAAGGACAAGTGTTTTCTGGGCACAAGGTGAGGGATAAGGAATGACCGCTAGCGTTTGGGTTTCCTTAAAGAATGATATAACAGTGTCTGGGAACTGAACCAACAATGATTTCACAAGACTGCAGATTTATTATGTGTCACTGAATTTCATACTTTAATTTTGCAAATTTATTTATTTTATGTGCATGAGCATTTTGCCATTTTGCCTGTGAGTGTGTTTGTGCATGCATGGCTGGTGTCTGTGTGGGTCAGAAACTGGTATCGGATCCCTTGTAACTGGAGTTACAGGTATCTGTGAACCACCACGTGGGTGTGGGAAATCAAACCTGGGTCTTCTGAAACTCAGCAAGTGCTCTTAATCACTGAGCCCTCTCTCCAGCCTCCATACTTCAAATTTGTTAATTATGTTATGTTGCTTTTACATCATTTAAAAAAAAAAAAAAACCCAAAACATTGTGTGCATGGAAACCCCCAAATATTTAGAAGATAAATAAAATGAAGCCAACAACCCTTGGCTACAGAAGAAACCAAAGATAAAATTGTTTTGAAATGAAGGGCAGAAAGGACATCAAGCAGTTTATGATGTCCCCAGTGTGATACTTAGGAAGGAATCTGGAGCACGAGATACCTGAATGATAATAGAGCAGAAATCAATGAGCTCAGCCTTTACCTTAAAAACAAAGAGCAAACTGAATTCAAAATAAGTAGTAGAATAGGAATTAAGGATGGAGTTTAAAAAAAAAAAAATCAATGAAAAAAATTCACCCTCTCATCCAATACAACCCCCAAACAAAACAAAATCCATGAAACAAGAATTTTCGAAACCTTGTACACCAGACAGTAATCTCTGAGCTGACATTGAAGCTCACCACAGCCCCTCAAAGGAGAAAGTCACTAAAGCCAAAGCTGGTTCTTTGAGATAGATAAGTTGGTAAATACCACATTCAGGCAGATTATTTTAGAAGGAAGAAAATAGATGCTAATTTTTCAATAAGACTAATATGACTCCAAAGTAAGGTAAGGGACAGTGTGGTCACACACACCTTTAATCCTGTAATTCAGGAGGCAGAGGCAAAAGGATCTCTGTGAGTTTGAGGCCGGCCTGGTCTACAAAAAAAGGCCAGGACAGCCAAGACTACACAGAGAAACCCTGTCTCAGGAGAAAAAAAAAAGTTTAAAGACATTACAAACAAACAGAAAACCCAGACTAGTGTTGCCCATGAAGATAGCTACCGTGACACTATGCTTACTGGTGAAAGGCTTCCTAGGGATTGTCCCTTTGCTAAGGACTAAGACAGTGACCTTATCACTTTTATTCAGAATTGTTTTGGAGAGTCTAGCCAATGCAATAAACAAAAAAATAAATTAATAGCATCCAGATGGATAGAAGGAGCAAGCAAGTAAAATACTTTTTTCATGGATATCATTATATAGGAAATCTCGTAATATACCAAAATAAAAACTACAAGTTAATGAGCAAGTTTAGTTGAGTTGCCAGTTATATAGTATATACATTACATTTTTATACAAAGAACAAGTAATTGTCTATTAAAATTAAAATGGTACCCACTTATGATTATTTAAAAATAAAATTTGACCTCCAAAATATGAATGCTTATAGTCCCAGAACAACTATTGCTGAGAATAAAGATGACTTCTAAGTAAATGAAAATCTCTAAATACTGTTAGGATGTCAGTTCTTCCTAAGCCATGATATTACTTCTGGCTTTTAAATAGATATGGACAACATGATTTTAAAATATGGAAGGTCTAAAACAGCCAACACAATTTTGAAAAAGGACTAAAATTAGAAGCTCAATGATACTTGACTTTAAATCCTATGAAAGAGCTACAGCAATCAAGACAAGTGTGTGTTTAGTGGGACAGACCAGGGAATGGGACAAGCCAGAGAATCCAGAGATAGAGACACACACAGAGTCCTCAACAAAGGCACAGCTCCATGGACCGAGGACAGACTTTAGATGGTGTCAGAACAACAAACAGGAAATCCATGTCCAAAAACCTGAACTTCCATTCAAAGCTCCAACTAAGGTAGAAAATAACCCCAAATGGGTCAGAAACCTAAACCCAGAGACCTAAGACTATACTAGAACACATAGGAGAGTCCCTTGGTGATGACACATTTGGCAAAAAAAAAAAAAGTACCCAACACATGATCCAATAAACAGATAAACTGATAAATCAGTCTTTAAAACACACTATCAAGAGAAAGATGAAAAAGCACAGAAAGGGGAAAAAAAAAAAAAAAACGTTTGCAAATGTTATTCCTTGATAGCAGTAACATATCAGGAATGCATAAAGAACCCTCAAAACTTAAGGGTAACATATGAAAAATGAACAAATAATTTGAAGAGACATTTTCTCAAATGTATGGAAAACAAGCACGTGAAAAGACAAAACATCGTATGGATGAGTCTTAATCATAATGAGGTAAAACAGACAAAATAATCACATACTCTCTGACGCCATTTATTGCTCCACAAAGCAGGCAGTTGTTATCTGGGAGAGAGGAAGGCTGTCTTGAGCATGAATTGCCAGAAACAGAGACAAACACATTTTGTATTTTTTTTTTTTTTTTTTTTTTACAATGTGAAGATTTATTAAACAAAAATAAAGTCACAAGGTTTAGGAGTTTTAATGATGGCAGTTGCCCAGCCTGAAAAACCACTGTTTATACAGCATGAAGTAACTTAGAGCAGGGAACAGCCTGATGTCAACACAGGCTCATGAAAGGACACAGGAAAATTCAGAAAGTGAAGACCACGCTCCTTTTCTTGCACTGATGATGGTTTGGCATCTATCTACTGCCATGTCAAAATATACCCATCCATTCTACACTTCAAATATGTGCTGTCTGTGACATGTCAGCTATGCCTCGTCAAAGTCCTGGTCGGTGGCTGGTCTCCTTAGGAGGAGTGCCTTGCCTTACCCAACTATCTCAACCACCTCAGGTACAGAACATCAACTCCCCACAGATGAGGAGGCTGGCCCGTCTCAAACTCCGCCTGGCAGAGACATGCCTGGACATGCTGCAGCTAGTGTGCAAGGAGGTCCTGGAGTTGCAGATGGAGCAGGGCTCCTTGGACAAGCTACTTTCAGACTTCCTTCAGAGCACCAGTGACTACTCCTTCGTTGACTTGGTAACTGCAGACAGCCTTAGCCCACCCTCTCTCCTGGGAGCCTGCCAGTCATGCTAAAAAAAAGCAGGGTGCCAATCTATGGAACCCCAGTCTCCACACCCCACGCCATGACAGCTCTTGACCACTCCCATACCTTGGTGCAGGTGGGCACTGTCTGATCACCAAGAGGGCTTAACTAATAATGAAGAGCTTATTGGAAGGGCCTTTCTATGCAGGCTTACAGCTCCCATTCCCAGGCCTCGCTTCATGATAAAGGGCTGATAAAGGTAAATTGCATTATCTTAGACAAAAAAAGTAAACCATGGGCTGGGTGTGTATCTCAGAGCATTTGCCTAGCATATCCCCTCCGGCATTCCCACCCTATCCCACCCTACCCCACCCATTCCCTCCTACACCGAAAACAGGACAAGCTGAGTAAAATACCTGTTTGCCAGAAAACCCTTCTTCCACTTCCACATTCTTTCCCCCTCCCTTTCTCCCTCCCGCCCTCTGCCTCCCTCCCTCCCTCTTCCTATCTTTTTTCTTTCTGTCTTATTTTGGCAGTCCTAGGAATAGAACCCAGGGCCCTGCATAGGCTAGTCAAGCACCCCACCAGCTTAGCTGTAGCTCCAGCACTCTCCCGTTCTCTTAAATGCCATGAAATGTCTGGGTGAACATAAATGAATCCTATAGTTAACATCTATTTGTCAGTGAGTTCTGGCATATAGTAACAGAAGCTGCCTTTTATGATCCTTCCAATCTCACGGCCTAGACACACCCCCCTCATGCTACCACACAGGACTACGCAAAGCAAGGGCATATCTCAAGGTGCCAGGTGTTCCCTGCTAGGAAGCTATCTGAGATCTCTGGGTGACTGGGCAGAAGTGTCACAACAGCCAGTGGTGACACCCTTGCTTGTCTTCCGGAAGCAATGGTTCACCCTAAAGCGGACCCTGCCTCACCTGATGCTAGCAGAGCTGGAGAGTCTGCAGCCACTGTGCGTCGGCTGCGCAGACATCCGTGCCCAGCTTCTGGTCCTGGCTGGGAAGGCCCTTCATCTGCTGTCCGTAAAGATAGACCCTGTGAACCCCTCCTTCCGCTGGGAGGAAGACCTCATGGTAGGTGTCCCTTTTGCCCACTGAAGTATGGTCCCCGGTTGCTCCACCTCGGCTGCAGAATTGACATTTAAGAGATGTTTTACCAACTCAACTAGGAAGGGTCTGGCCATATCCCTCTGTCTTGGTGGCTTGCATCCGGTTGGGCACAGATACCTGGTAGCTTCAGAAAAGCTCATTTACTACCTGATGTACACCTATGCCCTGAGTGGTTGACCTCCATGCTAAGGTGTTGTCTGCCTCCAAGGCCCTCTACACACCACACAGCCTGAGAAATCTGAGGAGGTTAGCGCCTGGGGTTGTTTGTCCTGAGTCTTCAGGCTGTAGACAGCACAAGACCCAGAAGACCCATGCTGGGCGAGCAGATAGAGATGGGGCCCTTGGTGAGCAGCTGTTTGTAGCATCTGCCTAGATAGCAAAGTGAGGGGCTTGAGATCCATAAGCAGCAGCCCCTCACCTGTCTGTCCTCAGTCTTCATCTAGAAGACAGCAAGAAACGGCTGTCTCCAGACGATGACCCCTGTGTGGAGTACAAGGAGCTCTAGGAAACACAGCTGCTTCCTCCCAGGTCCCGTGGCCCCTGCCCACCTGTAGGATTGTTCCTTTCCCTTTTCCTTAGGTGTGGCTTGTTGCTGCTGTCCAGTTTCCTGACACAAACCTCAATCTTCCTTCTTCTGAGCTTTCTTCTTGGTTTCCAGATGGTAGCTTTCTTCTAAGCTCATCTCCATGAAGCTTCCAGAGTTTAATGTGTAGAACTTTCATTCTCTGAGTTCATTTATGGGTTTCCCAGATACCACTGTGATTTCTTCCTTGGTCAGATCAGTGGCCCGAAGTGTCTTGTCCGTTAGACTGCTGTACTGTCACAGGTGTCTCCTGTTCCTGATTGCTAGCCTGATCTCATAGATGACCTCTGTCCTTGGGGTTCTATTAAGGCTGTTGGTGGCCAGGGCCTGGTGGGTTTTGGTAGCATTGACACACTTGGACAAAGTATGAGAGGTGGCTTCCCTGGATGTCAGCTGGGCCAGGGTCCCCAAGGTTTCTATGTGGGGCTGGCTTTTCTCCCGCTTTGTGTGTGAGCAACTGAGAGATTACCCCCCCCCTTCCCACTGCATCAGTAACACCTTTGACCCCACAAACTCATGGCTCCTGATCACTTGCCCAATCAACTTAACAACTTCCATGGCCTACTGATCCGTACCATCTTCCCCTCCCCTGGCGTCTGCGGTTTCCCTGCAAACCACACAGAACCCACAAACACCTTTTGTCTCATGGTGTACCTGGTAGGTAAGTGCTAAGCGGAACAGCCTGAGATCTCTGGAGCTGGAGCTGGACACAGAAGAAAAGAGTGTAGAGGCCTCCTACACGGACTTGACAACCACCAGGGAAGCCCCCAAGGAGCAAAACCGGAAGGCTGAGGGTCTGAAGGTATGCAGAAATCCCTACCTGTCCCCTAGTAGCCTCTGCCTCAAGAGCCCACCTTACCTTGAGCTTTGCACTGTCCACAGAAGAAGCTGGTGCTGGCCCAGAGGTTCCTGGCTCAGACTTCAGAGGTACTGCTGCAGTGCATACAGGCTGCCCTGCGCAGCAACCTTCTGGACATCGCAGCCACTGCCAGCATAGAGATGGTGGAGTGCATTGGCATCCTGGATCCCATAACCACCTGCCAGTTCCTGGCACTGTCTCAGGTATAGACCTCCTCTGCCCAGCTACAAAAGGGCCCTTTTCTGTCACCCCAGGGATGGGAGTGCCTTAGTACCAGCCAGCCAGGCTCCTTTCCATTAGACAAGACAGGAGTGGCCCTGTGGCTGAAAGGAGAGACCCTCCCTCTTCTCTGAGCCTCAGGTCATGCTAGTCCTCAAGGGATGGAAGAGAGCCAGAAACCCATTCTCAGCAAACACTCCTGTGCTTACCCCCCACCCAGAGTCAACATGGTGAGACACACTGAGATTCCAAACAGAGGGCTGGCCTAGTCCTGTTACGTGGCAGACAGGCGTCCAGCAGAAGCTAACTCACACAGACTCCTAGACACCCACTCGTGGCCCAGTCACCCTTTGCCCTTTCACATAGCCCACACCACCTTTCCCTGCCCTGTTTCAGAGCTGTTCAACCTCAGAGATGATGAGGAAGGTTTTGCTCATGGCCACGAGCAATACCAGCAGCTCACAGCTGGCGGCCCTGCTGCAGCTCCACCAGCGAATGAGGCAGCTGGACAAGACTACCACAAGCCTGTTTGCCAATATAGAGCAGAGGCTGGCCAGCACTTCCAAGGTAATGGGCAAGGGAACCTGTGCACATATGCCTGCAGCCTGTGGCCTCTGTGCTCACAGCCTGGGTCCTAAGAGTACAGCTTCTAAGTGAGATACGCACATCTTGTAGCTGTGTGGTTCTGGAGGGCCACTCAGCCTCTCCGAGTCTTATATGCTGTGGGTACAGGTACCAAGAAAGCTGAAAGAATTGTAGTTCCCTCCCCTTACTTGCCCCAGGCGAGCCTAGGTCTTGGTGAATAGCCAGTCGCATCAGCGGCTGGCAGGCAGGCAGGCAGGCAGGCAGGCAGGCATGACAGCAGATCAGTGGCTGGGAATGCTGTGGGCTTTGGAAGCCTCAAAGCCTACCCCGCCAATGACACACCTCCTTCAGCTAGATCACACTTTCCAATCCTACCAAGTGGAGTCCAAGCATTCAAATATATGAGCGTATGGGGTGGGCCATCCTCATTTAAGCTACCACAAACCCCAACAGATCCCCAAAGACAGAGATCACCTAGAGCAGCTAGAGCAGCAAGAGAAGACACCCGAACCAGTACAGTGGTGCACTCACACAGCAGAACACCCTGCAGCAAGAAGAGCTCACCCCCCCCCCCCGCACACTCCCGAGGTGGCCAGTGGACAGGCAGAAAAGCAAGCCCCCACCAACAAGAGCCCGTTCACATCCCCTACATGAGGAGCCTAGGGTAGCAGCACAGCCTACCTCTTCACCAGCCCTGTGATTCCAGCCATTGTGAAAAAACCCACTGGGTGCTTCACGTAGGGTTGCTTATTCTCTGACAAAAGTTTTCTAGGAAATGCTTTCATTTTTGCAAACCCAGAGCTCTGTCTTGAAGCCATGAGCAGTAACAGCTCACATAGGACATCTCGGGGTGCTCTCCCAGAGCCCATGCTGGCTGCCTGCCATAGGCAGTAGAGACCCTGAAGTGTACAGTGTCTAGGATTATTTGGATTATCCGTGTACAAGGTTCCCAGGGAGCAGAAAAACTGGGGGTCTGGCGTAAACCGAAACCAAGCTAGATCAGCAGCCCAAAGACCCAGGGCGACACGGAAGCTCTCAGGTAGGCTCCAAGAGGCATAAAGACCTCAAGGAAATGCTGTTTAGCATTTCCTGGAACCGCATCAGCAAGTAGGCGGAGCTGGACAGTGTAGCCCATGAGTTTCTCGTGCCTCTGCTGCCCTCTTGTGGTAGTAAGGCACCCAACGGTCCAAAACACCTGGGCCCTTAGTGATTTTCCCCTGTCAACAAACAGGCATGGCAGAGCCTCTATGTCACAGATCAGCATTTCACCTTCCTGAATGAGCTTCCACCCATATTCCGGTACCTCTTTCTGCATCACTCACAAGACAGGTGAGGAGGCCCTCAGCTCCCGTCGTTGTAAACCTCTGCCCTGTTGAAAAGCCCAGCAAGGAGGCAAGGGCAAGCTTACCACATCATCTGGGAGGCATGCTGGTTAGACTCAGCTAGTCCACTTGACAGGGGTGGGTGCCCATTCAGTCCGGACACATAGGAAATCCTCTTCCCACCCTCCCGGGAAAAGGCAAGGTGAGTTTCCATGGGGATGGGGATGTAATGGGATGAAGGCACTCTGTGATCTGTACCCACACAGCATCTTTCTGGTAGATCTGTGTGGGCCTGAACTGCTAAGCCTTTTGTAATTTCACTCTTACTTGGGTTGTATAGACTGATTCCTGGGCCTCTGCCTGCAAAATAAACATGGAAAGGCATCTATTGGATGCCACATTGGTTTGTTAGGCTCCTGAGACCTGTCCTGTATGCCTTGCTGTTTACCTCTGGGAATGAGCCTGTGACCTTCACTCTGCCCTCAGGACCTGGCTATATGGTGCTTCTTTTGAGAAACCAAAGTCCATGCATACACCCAAGGGGAAGTCTGGAGCAGTAGGAGGTAAGCTTGGGTGCAAACAGGGTTCTCCTCGTTGACTCCAGCTGGATTGCAGTGGGTATGAGAAACCCCTACCACACAGAAGAACCTCTCCCTCCCAGGTGCAGGGGTAAGGGGAGGCTGAGACTGGGATAGAAGAGAAAATAGGGGTGGCACAAGTTTCTAAGGGGTCCATCCAGAGGACCCATGTCTCCGTAGAGCTACCCACCCGGCACCACTGTGTTTTGCCTCTTTGCCTGGACATTCTTGGTACCAGCCCTTGTGTTGCCCAGAGAGTAATGGGGAACTCCATGTGCCCCAAAGACCTTCCCATCACAGGCCTCACCTCAGGGGCATCAAGGTTAAATAACCCCACAAGGACTCTTCCAGTAGCTCTGCCCTGATCCCTGTAAAGGCCATGGGTATATCTCTCCAGGTCACTGCAAGGTAATGCGGGTGCCTATGAGTCCAGTTGCCTTCTCAGACCTGCTGGACAATGTCCATTGCTTCCGGAAGCAGACACAGACCCAGGTACATAGCAAAGATGTGACCCTGAACCCAAGCACTTTGAGGCCTGAGGCTCTAAGCCATATTGCAGACTGCAGCGCATCCCAGGGAAAGCCAAGACTCCAAGGTTCGGTTGGATCGGGGTACTGGGCCCAGATCTCAAGAGGATGAAGGGGGAGCCCTGTGAAAGGTGGGGAGCTCTTTTGAGTCCCTGAGCAGCGTATTACCCCAGAGAAGGGGTCTGGCTACCTCTTCACAGAGCTTAGGGTTACCTGTCCTGGGTCTATCCCTACCGCCAGAACACTCCCTGGTGTCAGCAGAGGACATGGACAAGGCTGAGATGTCAGAATGGCCTCTGGAAAACTTAGGGGCATTGTGCTGGGAAGGACCATGCCAATGATCTATCTGGAAGGGCTGAAGCTTAACTCTTACCCTGGTGTCTTCCCAATTTTCTGATTGGGTGGAAGTCATGTATAGACACCCGTGGACAACAGGCTGTGGTTTGGGTTGGGACAGACATCAGACACTTTGCATGGTGAGGAGCGAGACCTGTGTATGCAGAGGCTTAACAGCATCCTGGAACACATGGAGGAATACTTGAAGCCCATCGCCCCCGTGTTCGATTTCCCAGAAGCCAGGTATCAGCACGTCATTTCCTCTGAAGGTTCCCCTGGGCAAGCCAGCTTCCTGGCTCCAGGTGATGGGCAGTTGTCTCCAGCTGAAGCTGGTAGTAGAAATAGCTAAACGTTGTTGTATATGGGCTATGACAGAGTAACCAGAATCTTCCTGGAGCCCACAGGACGGGGCAGCTAAGTGCAGCTAAAGGCCAGCTCCAAACCCAGATCTAGACAGCAACACACTGATGTGAGCTGAGTAGCCGGTTGTGATGGTCAGAAATTCAGGGCTGGTTTCTGAGCTCTCCCTCCATGTGGAAACTGTTCTCTGAGTGTCCTGACCCTACTAAGGACAGACAGAGAGCTTAGCATGTGTTTTATAGGCAGGAGACCCGTTGTTGCTGCTGCTGCTGCTGCTGCTGTTGCTGCTGCTGTCCCTGCCCCACTGACCTCCCTGGTCTGAGCATAGTGTGAGAGAACTAGCAAGTTCCAGGGCTCAGCCTCTGGCATTCATTTTTAGAAAAGAAGGATGGTGGAGAGTGGAGGTGGCATTCTTTCCCAGCAGCATGAAGCCGTCCTGAGGTCCCCATCTGTTGACACTCTGTGTCAAACGTAGAGATGGCCCTCAGTGACCACTGGGTGTGGTAGGACATGCCTTTAATCCCAGCACTCAGGAGGCAGAGGCAGGAAGATCTCTGTGGGTTTGAGGCCAGCATGGTCTACACAGTGAACTGTGGGACAGCAAGACATAGTCTTAAAAAAAAAAAAAAAAGCAAAAGCAGCAATCATTGGCTGAGGAACAGGCTAAGTGGTGTGTCTCATAGTCCTTGAGTGTCTTCCTATGCTTCCTAAAGCCTGAACACAGTCGCTCTGAATTTCAGAACACAGGTGTCAATGACTATGGCCGATACAGCGAAATACAAAGGCAAAGAGAAGGAAAGGACATTGTCCATCCCTCTAGGTGAGTGGCAGGAGCAGACTCATAGGCCATTGCTGGTACCTCGGGATCCTGTGTGGGTACTTACCCTCCCATCAAGGAAAGCCTGCATGGGTCAGGAGTCAGGACTTCCATGTCCAAACAAGTCCCACATGGGAGTGCTTCCCAGGACCCAAGGTTTCTCTCCTTGAGGTTCCCCGATACATGATCACCCCAGGCTAGGTGGAAGGCCCCAGAAGTTCTCAACCTTTCCAATGTTGTGACCTCATGTGGTGGTGACCCCCACCTGTAAAATTATTTTTATTTCTACTTCACAACTGTAATTTTTTTTTCTACTGTTGTGAGTGGTAATATAAATCTCTGTGTTTTCTGATGGCCTTAGGCAACCCCTGTGGAAGGGTTGTTCGAACCCCAACCACCTCTGGGGGGGGGGGGTCTCAACCCACAGGCTGAGAAACACTTCCCTAGAAGGCTCTGGGCACTGAGACTGACAGCTCCCGGGGAGGGCTTATCAAACAGTGGGTCCACCTTGCCCTTTCTGCTGATGCTTCTAGAAAAGATGCTGCCTTGCCCTGGGAAGCTCACCAGGGGCAGCCATGGGAAGGGACTCTGTCCCATCCACCCATTGCCCGTATGTGGTCTCTTCTGGTGGCACTACCTGTGGGTACTTTTAGCACAAGCCTGCTGTTTTTACTCCTGCAGGGAAGGGTGGGGAGATGCTCCTGGAAGGAAGGTCAAGAGTGTGCCATTCTGCCTCTTGGCTACTTCTTTGATTTTAGTAACATCTCCTTACTTTAACGGCAATTTCCTGCCTTAAAATTTGTCTGCTGCTTTTCTATCCCCACGAAGAACTGACCGACGGCTGTTCGCTCCCCCCCCCCCCCCGTCCCATAAAAGCCACAAGCTTTCTTCCAAGTTGAGCTGGCCACGTTGCCATGGCCCAGACACAGCACCCCAAGAACTACAGATTGCAAATGAGTCAGGCCTAAATCGGAGTGAGGGGGGGGGGGGGGTTGTTCAGAATTACTGCAGCAACCGGGAAAGCGGGTCCAAGTTTTGCGCTCTGTGGGCAGGCTGGTCACGCCCATGGTGGCCTTTCTCCTAAACTGAGTCTCTGCTCTGGATTAAACTCCCAGGATTGAAGACAGGAAAGAAGAGTCACTGCTAGGTTTCAAGCAAAGCTGTTTCGGTTTTGAAAGTTAAAAAGACCTAGTTGGAGCATCTAAGGTCCCACTTCTGGGTATCAGCATAGTTGCAGGCAGAGTGGCAATACCTCGTCAGTCAGTGGCCTACATCCATGATCAGAGAGGCTACCAGAGGGGTCATGAGAGGGAACCTTCCTCCAGGGCCCTCTGAAGGACTCACTCCTTGGAAAGTCCTCTGGGAGGAGTTTTTGTCAGCCTGGGCATTACATGGACTGCCTTGGGAGTCAGGTGTCTTGAGTTGTGGCATCCCTGTAAGGTGTACCACTGCATATGGGCTCTGTCCAGGTCCATGTCATAAACTTGACCTTACCTTCAGAACCAGTGACTGCCTCAGGGACTCCAGCATGTCGTCAGTACAGCCATGCCTCTGAAAGCTGGGCTGGGGCCATACTCTTCCCTCGTACCTTCATGCCAGGGACAGCAGCCAGTGGGCCACAAAGTTAAGACTAAGGGATGGAGCCCAAGATGCCCTGTCATAAAAGATGGCTTCTCCTTGTGTTTAGCCCACTGCCATTTCCATTCCACAGGGCCGCCTGACCCTGAGTACATGTTCATGATCGCAGACAAGTTCCTACTGGAGTTGCCCCTGGAGGGGCTCTCTGCACTCAGTGACGTCAGCTCCCTGTCCCGAGATTTTTCTCTCCAGATGCTGTGGAACCGTCTCCACAAAGAGGAGATAGGTGAGTAGTGCCTTAGCCACAGCAATGCTTAATTTTGAAACGGAAAATTGTAAATTATTTTTCAGATAAAACATTGTTAACTCTTGTCAAAGAGTAATGAGCCAAGGCACTGGGGGTGCAGCCCACTGTGGGGTTCTCGACCAGCATGCACAAGCCCCTGAGCTCCATAGCCAGCATTGAGAACAGTTGCCGAGTCTCTTAACATTTCCTTGGTCCTTTACTCATTCAAAATCATCTCCAAAATAGACAGTGCTATGAACAGAAAGCCTGCTTGAGCAGTTTCACAAGTGCCGATACCACAGCCAAGAAGAATCCCACTGGTGGGGAAAAAAAAAAACAAAACTGACTCCCAGAACCATTTGGCTAGATGTTGAGGGGCAGTGAAGGAAGGTAGGCCCTGAGTCAGGCCTGGGCAAAGCGGAGAGCAGGGATCTGAAGACCATCACCTGTGAGACTGTAATATACTCCAGTCTGTGAAAGGCCTTCAGACTGTTGCTGGAGCATACCAACACTTTGGAATACATGTTGAGCATCAATAAATACCAAATTAGAGCTGAAAATACAGCTCAGTGGTAGAGCGTTTGCCCAGCAGGCACAAAGCTCTGGGTTCTAAAAACCAGGAGTTAATACTTTATTCTTTTATCATTTATCCACACCATTCTTTATCCATCTGTAGTAGGAGGAGGTTTTTAATTTGATCTGCTGCCAACCTCTCTAGCCTACTGAATATTGTTTACATTTTAAAGTTTCCTTTGAAAGTTTGATTATCTTGTTCCTGAATAAGTACAAGGATAGATGTATCTTTGAGTCAGATTGCTCTCAAGGAGGTCCTTGGCATAACTATTTGAATCACAACCACCAGGGCATAAGGAAGGCCTTCAAGTAGGCCCAACTAAGGATATCTCCCTAAAAGTAGGAGGGGCAGTACAGTCAGGACATTCCTGAGAAAGCTTAGAGGCAGTACTCCTGGGAGAAGATGTAAATGATCCATAAGAAAATAATATCCCCAAGTTGTACAAACAATAATAATAATAAAAACCCAAGCATGGGACATGTAGAGATCAAGGCCAAAAGAGTGGGAGACTGCACCACAGCGATTGCATCACTAGGCTCAGCTTTGCTGGGTCTTTGTCAAGCAGCTGTGCTGGGTTTATGATTTTTGACATTCCCATTAGATGTGGCTGTGCCAGCTAAGGATAGAGTTCAGGTGACTTTGCCAAGCAGCAGTGACGAGAATGTGTGGCACGACTGTTTGGCAGGCTTAGCTCCACCAGTCCACGGTGTATGCACGCTTCAGAGTAGCCCACCATGCACCAGTCATGTCGGCTAATTCATATAAAAGATGAAAAATTGGATTAAAAATTTTTATTTTTAAATAAGTAATTAAATTAAAAGGCCCACTGTTCCAAGTAGCAGGGAAGATGCAGAAGCACACGCTTGCCCCACTGCTGACAGGAATGCTGCTGTCGATGAGAGTGGCGCACTGGAGAACCACCCTGGCAAACAGTTGTGTTGCGGTCACAAAAAGCTACACACTGGCCCACAGGTGACCCACGCACCCTCTCCTAGGTCTTTGTGTAAGAGACGAGAAGGCTCATGCAGACATAAACATTTAGATTATACAACTCTCTGTGACAGCCCAAACCTGGAAGCCACTGAACTGAAATGCTTGGTTCCGTGTTCTTGCCCAGTTCGAGGGGACTTGATCTGACTGGGACTGGTGAGGGAATGAAGAATTATGACTCTACACATACACACGGAGAGAGGGGGTGAGAGAGAGCAAAGAGGAGAGAGAAAGAAGCTGGGATTAGCTAGACTGAGCTCTCTGAAGCTCAGTGTCTTTATTACACAACGGAGCTTTTATTGAACAGAGAGGCAGGATTATTGCATATAGGTGGACAGGGCAGGGTTGTAAAATTATTATATAAAAAAATTAGCTAATCTCAGGAAGAGTAGTCTCTGTTACGGAGCAGACTTTCAGACCGTAAATAACTGGAGGCAGAAATCCATGGTGGTCATTTTCTTCACATACGACTAACATCCATGTGTGGGCCAGAGGAGGGCTTTGCTGTTTCCCATTGACCCTTAGGTTGTCAGGTGGACTTTGCCATTTTTCCCATGGGTCTGAGGCTATGATACTTGACATGACCACACCCATGTCAACAGTTCTCCATATCTGATACTCCCACAACTATCATTCAGGGGGCTGGGGTCCTCTTCTTCCCTTCAGGGCACCCAGACACCTATAGGTATAAGTGCTGGACTCAAAGGAATGAATCTTAGCCAGGCAAGTGGGTCAGCAGGATCCCACTTCAGCAGTGAGTTTGGGGGTGGGAAGAGGGGATATCTCTTGTCTCCAACACAGCCCTTTCAGTGACAAGGCTCTTACAGTGACACAGCTCTCTTTATTGGGAGAAATAACAACTATATAAAACCTTGGGGAAGTGGGTAGGAGGGGACATCATTGGCTGGGGTTGAGGTGCTGAGAGTGGAGAGGAATTCCGGGTGCTAGCTGGACATGTCCTGGTCACCAGGCTGTGTGAACTACCTCCGAGAATGGTGCAGGTGGAGGTCACAAGACGACGTGCACCAGGACACGCAGGCACAAAACAGGGAGGGAGCCATCCTTACTCCTTACGCCGGTCTCAAGATGCGATTTTTTTTGGGGGGGGGGGAGGTTGGACACTTCTCAACCTCACTCTTGCCCCAGGCCAGTTGGCCCCAGCCCTTGGTCACATGGTTCATGTGCTCCACAAGCAGCCACTTAATGGTCATTTCAACACCCGCTTGGATGGATGGTACACGGGAACATATCAGCAGTCAGGAGATTGTCCAGGGAAAGACTCAAAAGAGGGCACGCAGCAAATGCCTTCATTTTTTATAAAAATCTGGAAAATATAAATTGATTTCCACTTAGAAAGCAAGTAAGTAGCTACTTGGTAAGGATGAAGGCCTCAGGAAATGCAAGTGTGAGATGTACCTGAGGACCTGTGGAAAGGTCAGATCTGTGTGAAGGAAGATCCATCAGAACCAAATACCCTCTTAGTGTGTCTCTGAGAAGTTTCCTTGGCAAAGCAGGGGTGACAGAGAGCCATGTCTTTTGCCTCAACCTCACTTCCTGTGGAAGTCCCACCCTGGAAGGCATAAAGGGAATGAAAGACACAGGGTGTGGGGCAGAAGGAAAATGGTCACAGTGAGGCATGGAGCTATCAACATGAAGCCTCCAGAAAGACCTGCCCACTAGGGACAGCTCATCAGAGAGAAGACACAGGCTGTAAGTGTCTGTGCAGAGACCCTGGAACCAGCAGGGGCCCAAATATTACAGTCCCCCCCACCCCCAGTGAGTTCCTTGTGAGGAACGTCAATGGCCAGGAATGGTACCTAGAAGCCTTAGGGGCTGGTCTTTTCCCAAGAGCTTTTCTTGGGTCTCTCTGAAGCCTTGTGCTTCAACATGACAAAAATTAAAATCAATCGTTCTCACCACTCAAGATTCACAAAATCCAAAATCGAACAACTGAGCAGCGCCTAGTGCCTTCCCAGCACTGTGCACCCACTGCTTCATCGCACTTGTCATTGTCTTTCACAGAAGGCACTGTGAAGAAAGAGATCAAAGCCAAGGATTTCAAGAAGAGAAGTCCAGGAAAGAAGAGCATTAAGGTAGGTTTGGTGGGAGCTCAGGGACCCTGTGCTCCTGTCAGCTTGAGTTCGGTCAAGCCTACCATGTCTTCTGAGGCCCAGCTGGTGACCCCAGGTGTTGGCAACCTCCATCTGTGTTGCAGGGCGTGATGCGGGTCATCCCACAGGAATGCACCCTAATCGACACAGACACCATCAAGTGTATCCTTTAATGGGTGCTCACGACCCCCAGGACCCTGCTTTGGTCTCTGTTTGTCCTTGACTCATCCTCAGTTGTTGTGGACCCTTATGAGGAGGCCGACGGCAGAGGTGAGAACATCACACAGGCTCTTGGCATATAGGCCAAAGCCACCCAGGCCTTGGGACAGCTGCTGTCATGACTATATGGAAATCACCTCAAGTGGCCTTGGAGTCCTGGGTCTGAGTACAAGCCGGCCACCTTGCCCCTCTAAATACTTTGATTTGTTGGGACCTCCTCCTTCTCTCAACTCTTTCTCTCCCTCCTCTTCCCCCCTCCCGCTCCTCTTCCTACTGCTTATCTCCTCTGCCAATTCCTCCATCTGAAAAAGAAAGGAGAGGCACTAATCATTCCCACCTGGGCTTAAAACTTGCCCCTTCCTAGCCTACAGCCTGGCCTGGTGGCAAAGGGTCCTATCCCCCATGCCCTGATGAGGAGGCCACAGCCTCTCTCAATTCTTCCTGCAGAGGTACTGAGTCCTGTCTCCATAACCCAGGAGATCTTGGAAAAGTTCCGAGACTCATTCACTGCACGTTGGATGGGACATCTGGGAAACTACCACTTTCCAAGGTTGGAACCCGGGTCTCCAAAAGCTGACTAAGAGAGTCTGGTGCCCTTGTGTGACACCTTCCCTGTTGGCTAGATCTGTTCTGTGTCAGGGTCACTCACCCACACATGATCTGCCCCCACGTGACCTCGGGTCCCCTCAGACCAAACCACCTGCAAAAGGTATACTACCAGCATAGGGTCAGGTAGTTCCATGTCACTGGCCCCTATGGGCATGCATGCTCTCATCCCTGTCCTTTAGTGTGTATGGACCTGGGGCAGGGGGAGCCAAGCCTGTTGATACAGGGATGCAGAAGTGAGCCTGTGCAGGGCTGGGGTGGAGCCCAAAGGGCAGACTTGGTGAGGCAGGACATGGAGGGTGACAAAAAACATACCTAGTTCCTGTCTCCCATATTGGAGGTGCTGTAGTATTTCCGGGAGCCAGCTCTACTGGCTTGAGGTGTATATTTGTTTCTAGACCACAGTTCATCCTCTGGGAAGGAGTGAGTCCATCTGTGGCCAGCTGTACCCTGGAAAACAAATAATAAAGCAGAATAAAGGGTTTAGTGCAGGTGGCCGGGGACAAACAGACCTGGAAGGAGGGGTTGCAGATGCATGCACCGGCCTCGCCCAGATGCATGATCACAGCCCCCCCCCCACCCCCACCCCCACTGTTCTCACCTCACACAGCCAGTCTGACTGGGAGCAGCTACTGAACAGCTGCCGAGGCTTTTTCTTCTACGGGATGGAGAGCTTCCTAACCCACCTGGTAGTGGAAAGATTGGTAGCCATGGATCTGCAAGGTGAGGTTTCTCCCCATGGCAGCCCCAGCCAGAGCCTGAAGGCACAAACGATATCCTGGAGAAGAAAAAGGAAAGCAGGGGCCCCTGCCGCTTGATCTGAGTCCAAGGTTCCAGATGCTTCAGAAAGGCGTAACACCCTGCCCTAACCTGTCTTCTATCTGAAAGCCATCCCTGCGCTCCATACAGTGGTATGACAGCTACGGGGCCACTAATCCTCCTGGTTGCCCTCAGCACCTCCTCATGCACAGAGGACCTCTGTTCAGATCTCCAGACTCCCACAGATGAGAGTCCGGTGGGGAGTGTCACCTCATACAGCTGCACCAATCCCGGCAGAACCTGTCCAGTCTGAACGTGGGTGTTTGGGAGCCTGTTCTCTCTGAGTGTTTACTAACACCAGGCCTAGGGGTGCAGTGAGGCCCGGAAGTGTTGTGCCTAGAGGTCTCAGGGTATGAAAGGGTTCAGAGACCAGGTAGAGAGCGCCACAGGTGGGAAGTGACCCAAGCTAAGTTCAGAGATAAAAGGAAGAAGTACCATGTGATGTACTGAGTACAGTGGTGCTTAAGGCCCCTTGTCAGGCGTGCTGTGCCGACGCGGCACCGATAACACACAGCACCACAGGACAGCAGGCTCCATGTTCAGACATTTGGAGAGTGTATTGCAGTGTTCTGGTCTTTGTGGTCCACAGCCACCTCAGACACATGGCCATAGACCCCCCCCCCCCCCGGTATGTCTGGATTTCCCCCAGGGTTCCCCAAGGTCCTTTTCCCACACATAGGAGGCTGCTTTTGTTGGGCTGCTCAGGGCCAGCCACCAGGCACGGTCAATGGGTAAGCCTCTTCAGGAGCCCAGAAATGTCCCTTTCTCCCTTGTGAGGCATATGGCCCCTTGCAGGGTTATGTAGAAACTGCCCAGATGCTTTTTCCATGCCAAGGCACCTGTGTCCACCAGGGCCATGGTCTAGTTCCAACTGCTGGCAGCCCTGGGCATGCTCCAGGCATACACATAGGACTGGGCAAAACCCTCATCATCAGAAGCACCCAGAAGACATTCCCTGTCCCAGGGATGGAGAAAGCCATCTCAGAAGGACTAATTCTCAGCGATATGTCACATAAAGCAGGAGACACAGAAGGGATGTGAAAACGTAGTAGTCCCTCCTGGTGTCCACTGCCCCCAGGAGGCCATGTCCCTTCACAAATGGACATTTCACCTGTTGGGGTGGTCACCAATGCCCATCTCAGGGATCAGGGACAAGAGCAACTTTCACCTCTGTGTCCATGTGGATCCTGTAGATAGTCACATCAGAATCACACTCAGCCACTGTTTCAGTGAGCATGTCTGCCTAGGGTGGCTCACTCAGTGCCAGGTCCCCATGACCATGCACATCTCAGAAACCCTCACATCTCCAGCAAGCTGAACGGTGGTAAGCTTGGTGAGCCCTCCAACAGAGCATAGAGTTCTTTTAGCCAATCCCTCTTTGGGGCCAGCTTCTCATACCATCACCACCCCCTTGTGTATACACTGAGGTTTCCTCTCTCTCTCTCTCTCTCTCTCTGCACTGGTATAGAATGCCAGAAGCTCCCATAAGTGACGAGGGAGTAGAGTTGCCTGTGCTAGGAAGTGTTAGAGGTGGTCCCAAGTAGGCTTGCTCAATGAGTACCAGAAAAGAACCAGGTAGATTGGTCAGAGTGCAGGTCCCATGGGGATCTGGTAATGGTGTGGGTGACCACTAAGGAACCTTGATGTGTCCTGCAGAATGCCAGATGATGGTCCTGCTGGACTTAACAAGGTCCTCTGAGAGCCGGAAGCGGAAGGTCGAGACGTCAGACCACAAGAGGTACCTAGTATCCTTGTATCATCAGGAGCCTGTGGTCGGGGAAGGGGGGTGTTAAGCACAAGTGCTAATAGATCTCACCCCGGGGACTGGCAGACTACCAGGGCTGGCTGGCTAGCACCTTCCATCTCACAGTACCAACTCCCATTGTGGGCTCTGTGCCAGGAGCTGCCACCAGTTGCATTTGTCAATGTTCAACTATTTCCTGTCAAATAACATTTAACTTTTGTGGTGAGATCCAGAACCATAAAAGCCTTGATTCATATATGCATTCTAGCAGCTGGTGCAGGGAAGGATAGAGGGAGGGCCATCAGCCCCTTGGTGCCTGTCCATGTGTCTCTACAGTACGTCACAACGGTCCTTGGAGAGGCCCATCGAGACTGCCATCCTTCTGAGTCTGGTGGGAGTTGAGAGCATTGTGGCCAACCAGTGGCCTACGCTGCTGCAGGACAACGCGCTGAGGGCCACCATGCTGTGGGATAGTGAGTGGGCACCCTTGCTATCCCAAAGTCTTCTTGGGCCTTTGCCTGAAGTCCATAGCCCACCTGAAGGAACGTTTCTCTTCCTCCACCCTCAGACCTGTTAACAGTTGGCAAGCCACTTGGGAAAGCAGTTCGTCTCATTCAGAGGGTAGGCAGCGAAACAATGAACAAAAGTGAGTAGAGACTGCCCATTCATCTGTCTGTATATGTCACCCGGGGTTACCTCGCACTCCATGGCCCTTGGGTGTCCCTACTTTAGAAGAGAAAAGGAGTGGGAGAGGGAGGGAAGGAGAAAGGGGGTGAAAGAAGAAGGGAGGAAGGAGGAGAGAAGGGGAGGGAGGAAAAGAGGGAGGGAGGGGAGAAAGGAAGGGAGGGAGGGATGGAGGGAGGGAGGGAGGGAGGGAGGCAAGTGCATGAGGAGCCAGCAAGCACTGTCCTTGTGGGGAAGCCAATGAGGTCTACTCAGTCTCTAGGTGAGCTGGAGCTGAACAAGAGCATAGATGTGCCCAGCCTCTAGCCTACCACTTACACACACAGAGAGAGGGCAGAGGGAAGGAGAGAGGGGAAAAGAAGGAAGGGAGAGCAAGCGAAAGAGCTCAGTTGTACTCTCGATGAAAAGATGGTAAGATCTGGGTGACCCCTGCACTTTCCCTCTGCCCAGAGAGAGAAGACTGGCCATCTAGGCTACCCAGTCCATGGAGGCCACCTGGTCTTTCTCAGCCAAGACAAAAAACCTTAAGGAAGAGGAGGTCCCAGGCTGAGGGTGTGCCCTGCAAGAGCCATGAGGATCAGCCTATAGGATCTTCTGTCCCTGTAGATTTTCAGACAGCCTTCTAGCTTGGGATGGGGGGGCAGGGACGGGTAAGCTTCTAGCAGGGCCGCAGGGTATTGCCTGTTCTGGATGAGACACTCCACCTACTCATCTTTCAAACAAACCTTGTGCCAAGATGTGCCAGCTGCAGTGAAAGAATCTGCAGATAAATTTTACATGTGGACACTAGGGTAAAAAAAAAAATCAGATAAAAGTCTAGCTAATTGCATCTAGCAATACACTAAAGTGAAAATGTACGATAATTCAGAGAGATTTATCCAGGGAGGGTTTAAAAATTGAGAAATTTGAAATACATTCAATACAACTCAGTGGGAGATTAACTTTTGAAAAACCACACACTCCCCAGTGCCTGGGATGTAGCTGCAAAGGATAAAGGGGAGTTAAATTGTGTAAGTATGAGTGAGCGAATGAATGAGCCCCAGTGAGTGAGTGGATGAGTGAATGTATGAATGAATGAATGAATGAATTTGTGAGTGTACCAGTGAGTAGACTAGCAAGTTGAGGAGTGAATTAAGTGGATAAGTGAACGAGTTGAGTGGGTGAATAAGTGAGTGAATAAATGAATGAGTTAGGAGTGAATGAATGAAGTTGTGAGTTAGTGAGTGAATGGATAAATTTGTGAGAATAAGTGAGAGGAAGCGACTGAGCAGCCAAGTAAAGGAGCAGGAACCAGAGAAACAGACAAAGGTGGTGATGTCTAGCTTCTTCCTAACAAACTAGAAACAGGATTAGCCCAGCTTCTTCTGCTACCTAGAGTAGCCAGCATGTCCTTTCCCTATAAGTGAAGAAAGGGCCGATGACCATGGCTGTCAGTGTTGGTCCTCCAGTTCTCGTCACCCCAGAGGAAGGAAGTAGCATGTGTTTGGAAGGAAGTAACCAAATATGCCCATACCTGTGGGTTGTCCTGCCCTGTTAGGGGTGCCTCTAGACCTCAAAGAGGAAGCTATGAGGCCAGTCTCCAGCTTTAAGATGTCCCAGGGAGTCTGGGGGAGGAAGTCGGGGGACTAGGGTCAGGCCTGGTCCCATCCTGGCGCTGTCACTGACAACCACTGACCTCCACAGTTTCCAGGCCTTGTCGACACTGAGGCACGGGAGGTGACAGGGTTGCTGTGGTCAGGCCTCAGGGAGGACTCATGGCGTGCCACAGCCAGAAGTGCTAACCTGCTCCCCACCTCTCCCCTCTCCCTGCTGCCCTGCCGTTGGTGCGGGTGGGCATCCTGGCAGGACCTGAGCTGCTTCCAGAGAGCTCTGGCGCTCACAGCTTGTGTCTCATGTTCCACAGATGAGGTTCACTGGTCCTCCAAGGATGAGACATACCCTGACGAGAGTTCTCAACACACCGAGTCCCACCCCACTGCTCTTGGCTTGGTTCTGTACGGACTGCCTAACCAAGCCATTATATGAGCTAAACCCTAAAGCCTTCGTGGGGCCCCTATCCCTAGCTCTACCCTTCTGTGACTCCTCTCCACTCAGGACTCTTTCCCCACTTGCTGGGGCTCACCCCAGCCATGACACAGCCTAATGGCTGTCCTTCTGTCCTGAGAAGACAGCTGTTGCCCGGTACACCGCCTAGGCCCCTGCTCCTCCTTGTTCGTTCACAAGTTTGTTTTTGGTGTCATTGTTTTAGTAAACAACAAGACAAAATGTGTGGTGTGTTTCTAGAAGTCCAGGACAGGAGCTGGGGCACCCAGCTCTGACCATGTGCGCTGGGGCACGCAGCTATAATCACCAGCACATTCCAGCACCGTCAAAGCTGACGGGAGCATGCTACCCTCGTGTGGATCGAGACCCACCATACTTGCCCCACAGCTCCAGAGATGCCAGTGGTTCTCTTCTAATCCCCACCCCACCCACCCCACCCCCGCTAGTCTCCTGGCCGCATGTCAGGGTTCTTAGAAAAAAGACCCATCTTGTACGTGATCCTTCTGCAGTTCCAAACAGACTTTTCGGGAAATGGCAGTCAAGGGCAACCCATGAGGTCCTGGAGGCCCTTTTCAGCCGTGCACTACAAAGTCCAGGTATGGATCCTCTTTGGCCGTTTTGGCTCTCTGGCCAGGAAAGAAGGAGAGCCAAGAGCAAGTCCACAGGGCAGGAGTCTGAAGTCCCAGTGTGTTCCATCAGCTCCCCTGACTGCTTGCTACCTCTTGCTAAGGGGTCAAGGTGGGGCTATTTCCTACAGAAAGAGCAGGGGGTCATTTCACCTCATGGTCCTGGTAGCCCAGGAGATTGTCTGGCAGTAGCCTTCTCGCTGATAGAGTTCTGTGTCCCAAGGTACTACAGGCATCTGATGGGGAAGTGGCAGGGACTATACCTCCCCTGGTCTCTGTCCTTCCTCTTACAAAGACACGAGGATTCAATCATAGGGTCTACACACCATGACCTTGATTAAAAATCTCAGTCACTTCCCAGGCTGGACCCCAAACACCCACTTGTCCACACCTCACAGCTGGCACTGATTTCTGCATACAGCTCTGGGGGGGGGGACACTCAAATCATCTCAGTGGTGGGGCTTTTTCTTTGCTCTGGACTTAGAACTGTGAAAGCAAGGGATGCCGAGCCACCAGTGCGTGACAGCTGCTGTCCTAAGCCTTGTGGGGCTAGAGCTGTCTCCACAGAACTGGTGTCAGGTGGGTAGCCCTGGGAGAAATGTCACCTAAGGGAAAGACAGGGTCTGAAAGAGGCCTTGTTGGCAGGCGAGAGCATCTTCGGAGCCCAAAGCTACTCAGTGCCCCCATGATCTGTGCACTCACCCTTCCGGCACTGAGGGACTGATGCCAAAGCTTCCTGGATCAAACCACGTGGCAGAAAAATTGTTTTAAAGCACAAATTAATACATACTAAAACGGCTGAAGAAAAACAACGCAGACACTGTCTCATAACACTGCTGACATGCCAGAAGAGGTCTATCTAGGCATACCAAATGCTTCCTCAGGCCTGAGCACAGTCTTGGCTATTTCTTTATCCCAGAGAAGTGGAGCTTCATCCCTCACCCCACATACATACCCCTAAGGGTGTAAACCAGCTTTGCTCATGATGGCCAAACGCCGGAAACAGCTTAAGTGTCCTTCAGTGGGCAGAAGACAACATTCCATGTAACGGCACAGTGTAGACCAGTGTCCCTGCATTAAGAATGTAGGCTGATTCTGGCTCACAGTCTTGCTTTGAGACCGTTAAGAGGCAGTGCAATGTGGCAGAGACTGTGGGAAGCAGAGCTGCCTGCTTTAAAGCCAGGAGGCAAAATAGAGTGAGGCCCGGGTCCTACCCAAAGGTCTGAAGAACCCCTCCCCACAGCACCACTGGGAACCAAGTTTTGACTTATGGGTCTTAGGGAATACTCCAGAACTGAACCATAGCACTCATTCTTGTATTAAAAACAATAATAATAATAAAAAGCCATCCATAGAGCCTCCTGGATGGACCTGGAGGGTTCCTGCTGAGACATAGACGCCGCTGTCAAAAGTAACAATTTCAGTATATAACATCCTCAAATGGCAAAGTATAGGAACAAGTAAATCAGTATTGCCAGGGCATAGGGACAGGGCTGGGAACACCAGCGGGGAGCCTCGTGGCAGCCCCATTCCGCATCCTGACTGTGGCAGGGACACAGTGCAGAGGAGATGCGGTAATCGCAGAGCTGCCACAGGCAGAAGCGAGGTGACACTGACAACACCTCGGACCCACATCACTGTCTGTGCTGCTGCCCATAACAAAATTTCACCACTGGGGGAGGACTGAAGGCTCTTGTCCTGGAGGCTGGGATTCAAAGAAAACCACACACAGCACCAAACCCCAGAGAGGAGAGTGGGAGAATATGAGAGGCCCCCTCTCCGAGAATACCAAAATCGGTCTCTGCTAGAGGTTACGTCCTGTCGCCTCTTCTGTGCCACAGTGCTGTACTTTGTCCCGTTAGATGGTAGAACAAGGGTTGTGCAAACAGAGTGTTGGGATTCCAGGACCTGAACCTGACACCTGAGATTGGTGGCCCAAGCCTGGCAGGCAGGCAGCGTGGGGCGCGATTCGCCGAGGTTGGGCTGATATGATAGCACCCATCCTGACAGACAGGCTGCACAGAGCAGTGCGTAGTTTTGTGACAAGCTGCCGAACTGTGGGACTTTTCTTTGTGTCCAGCCTCTGTTGAAGTCAGGTGCCTGAAACCGCCAACGGCGCAGGCGTGGGTAGGGGAGCTGCCCGCTGTTTTTCTGATTTCACCTGGCACAAGTGTGTCAAATGAGCATCTTCGATGGCATTGGAAGAGTTATGTGTGACTCGACTGTTTTGTTTGTTTGTTTTTTCCCCTTTATAAACATATATGCATACTTGTTCCAGAATTTAAAAAAAAAAATACACACAGAAAGCTAACTAATGACCAGGGGATAAATTCAAATTGTGGCTGTGCTGGAAATATGAGCTTTCTTCCACAAAGGCGTTGGCACTCACCCAAACAACAAGAATAAAAGCTTCTGGAAATATTTCATCTGCAGCATCACATTCTTCACCTCACACGTGTCTGCTTATGTGAGAAATATTCAACAGCGAGTGCTATTCCATGTATCAAAGGCGTTAAAATAACTTTCTGAATTATGTCCCGGCAACATAACAAATCACATTATCAATTAGCTCCCGAGGCAGAAGTGGCATTCTGTAATATATTCAAGCATGAAAAAATTGCATAGGTGAAATTTATGTAACCCTAAAAACTATGAGGAGAGAAAAGATTGCCTGGGATTTATTGGTCATAATGGGAGACAGGATGTAATTCGGGCAGTGGATGGCCTCCGAGTACGGCACCCAGCCTGCCTCTTAAGATGCCTCGCCTGGAGGCAATAGATGAGAAGGGTAGGCAGGAAGCATCAGGCAAAAGGCTGATGGCTGCTGTCCACATGCAGACTGGACTCCCTGATGTGGGGTGACCCAGGTGGGTAAGGTGGGGATGGGGCCACCTGCAGGTCGCTGTCACCTGTAAGCCAGCACAGCGAGAGAGAAGCCATACTGGATGGTCCTCACCCTACAGCCCCACTTCTCCTCTGGGAAATGCCCATGGGGAGCAGAATCCAGGAGTCACCTGTCTAGGGATAGAAGGAGTAGGGGCCAAAGTTCTGACCCCATTTAACCAGTTAACAATGGTAAAGGACGCTGTCCACAGAGCCTCCAGCTCAACACCCACTATGGATGCTCTGTGTCTACATCAGGCCAGCCATCACCACGGCTGGTCAGTCAGCTTCTTAAATGTCCCTCTATTCCCTAGGCGTGGAGAAATTTTCCAGTTTTTAAAGATTTTTTTTGTTGTTGTTAACGGTGTTTATTGAAGAAAATTTGGAAAATAAAAAAGGTGTAGGGGGAAAGTGGGGGATAAAACCTCTCTCATAGTCCACATCAAAGCTGTACCAAGGCTTGGTGGCCGTGTTTCTCCATGGCAATGTCTCACTTCCCTCAGAGTCTTCACGTTGGAAGGTGAAGTATATTGCCTTTCACAGTTTTTAACCAAAATCTCATTTAAAGCATCCTTTCCTTCCAATTGGTGGCAGCCGAAACTGGGCATGGGCCAGAGGTCCCTGGCAGAGCCCCTCTGCTGATCCTGCAGTCTGTATCTCCTAGGAACTAAATCTCAATACCTTGGGCTTTCTGGGCACAGAGCCTGGGGCTGTCACCTATGACAGGGGCAAAGGCACGTGAGGGAGAGCAGAAACAGAGACAGCCTCCATCGCTGACACTAAGCTCTCTCTCAGCGGCCATCCCCCCCTCCCCCCCCCCGCCTAGTGCCCCTTGCTCACACTCCTTGTCTGTTGCCTCCACTCAAGGAACTTTGAAAGGCAAAGCAGGGCACCTTCCTCTGGGCTGCTCCCAACCCAGCTTGGGAGCAAGGCCTTTGAAGATCAGGGCCCACTCTGCCCCTATCCACTCAGGGACCACACCTGGTTTCTGGAGGGGACCCACCAAGGTGAGGCCCACATACAGCGTCAACACCTCCCATCCATTTCTCGTGAAGCTCTCCAGAACATCATTCCTGGGAGGTCACCCTGCTTAGGGTGATGCTCAGATGGAGACCTCAGCCCACTGTTGTCGGTTTGCCTGCCCAGCCTTAAGCCACGTTTGCCACACACGAAACAGTAGCCTCCTCTGCCCAAGTCTGATTTCTTCAGGGCCATGGAACATAACACACAGATCCGCTGACAGAACTTTGGGGATTCCCTGAATAGTCCCTAGAATTCCAAAGTCAGATTCCCCAGGTTCCCCATTGGCCAGACTGCCCATCCAATGGCCACGTCCCGGAAGCCTGCCTGCCCTTCCCAGCCTCCTCCTGCTCAGCCAATCCAAGCAGTAAAGTTGCAGCCACTGCTACGATAGCCTCTAGCTGGTCTGGATTAAGGAATTAGGCAGGTTAATAAAACTAAAATGTTCACAGAAGCTTGTATATAAATTTCTATTAAGTTGCCTTGTCCAGCATTGGTCTGTAATAGTTTAATTTCTGTATTAAATAATTAAAACCCTATTTTCAATTGCTATGAACAATTGTTTTCCTTAATGATCTTCCTAGAGTAGCCAGTAATTTTATATCTTGTAAAAATGATTAAATGGCATCATTATCCCATATCTCTGAAATATAACTCAGCAACTCCCAGAAAGGCCATTCG